GTTTGATTTTAAAGCAAAAAATTGGGAAATGAACGGGAAATAAATAAAAAAAACAATTTGTTTGTTAAATCCAAAAGCTTTAAATAATCCTTAATAAATTTCTAAAATGATTACAAATTGAGAGAAAAAATAAATTAATTTAATTTAAAAAATTTTTGCGAAGGAATCCATCTGAAGTTGTATTTTTTGTGGGTAAAAAGGTTAGTTTTTTGACCATAACTTTTTGGTTAATAAATAAAAAAATAAAATTTAAATTGCATTAAATAGCCCGTTTAATTCTCTATCGAATGATACTAAATTTAAAATTATTGGTTAACCCGCTGAGAAGTTATGAATTTTAAAAGCAACGCAACTCGAAGAGTCAGATTTAGAAATAAATTGTTTTTAAAAATTGAAAAAATATTTTTTGAAAATGAAATAAAATTTAAAAATATTCTGAATTTAAATAAAAAATTTTTAAGATTTTTAATTTTTAATTTTTAAAGAAAACATCAAAATTTTGGCCTAATTTCCACTATCAACCTTCTCCTTTTTAAAATTTAAATTTCAAAAATCAAAAATTTCTAATTATGGAATGCTTAAAATATTTTAATTATAGATCTGTTTAAATTTATATAAATAAATTTTAACAGCATTTAATTTTTTCTTAAATTATAAAATTATTTTTTCTAGAAACAAACTAAGAAGATTACGTTTAAAATTAAAATATATATAAATAAATAAATATTTATTTATGGAAGATATATCTCAAGTTGTAAAAAAAAGTTGTAAAAATAAGTTGGAGAAGAAAGCTGGAGAAAAAAGGTTGGAAAAAAGGTTGTGAAAATAAGTTGTAAAAATATTTTGGAGAAAAAATGTTGTAAAAAGGTTGTAACAGGCTTTAATAAAGTTGGAGAAATAAGTTTAAAAAGGCTGAAAAAAGTTAGAAAATAAGTTGGTAAAAAGTTGGAGAAGTTGGGAACAAGGAGAAAGGTTGTAAAAAAAGTTGCAAAAATAAGTTGGAAAAAAAAGTTGGTAGAAAAGGTTGTAATAAAGTTGGAAAATAAGTTGATAGAAAAACAAAGTTGGTAAATTTAGTTCCTAGTGTATTTAAAGTTTCCAAAAATAGTCAAAAACAAAAAGAAGAAAAAAAGTTTATTTTAAAATTTCCATTTAAAGAAATTACCAACTTATTTAAGTCTAACAAGTTTTAAAGACAATTTGTATTTAAATAAAGTTGGGAGAAAAATGTTGGAAATTTAATGCTTATTTATTTAAAAATGGTCAGAAATAGGTAGAGGATTATTATTTTTTAAAAAAATTATTAAAAATATTTTCTTGGATAATTAAAAAATAAAATTAATTTTTATGAAGGGAAAATATTTAATTTGTTGAATTTTTAAAATTAAAAAAAATTTAAAAATAAAATTTAATAAATTTTATTAACGGGATTTGGACTTTTGAAGAAATTAAAGGCTATTTAATTATGCAAAATTGCCTCAAAAATTATAAGGTCAAAAGAAAAGTCCAAAAAAGGAGACAGACATTTTCTCTTTAATTAAGGCTAAATTTCATTAAATATTTAAATAATTCTTTTAAATGAGACGTGTAAAATAAATATTTATTTACATAAAAATATTATTTCTACTTCCTGTCTTGACTAAAAAAAGTTTTTATTTTATTTGCTTATGACAAGCTAATGTCAATAAAAGGAGTAGAAGAGGAATAAAGTTGCTTAAATTAAAAGAGAGAAAATTAAGAGAAAAAAAAGGTTGGTAAAATGACGTGGATAAATATTAATATGTAAATTATTAAAGTTTATTTTTTTTTCAAGTTTAATTTTCAAACTTAAGTTTATTAAAAAGTTTATAATAAGTCCAAGTTTATTTATTTCTAAACTTTTTTCAAGTTTATTTTTAAGTGTAATTTCAAGTTTGTTTTAAAGTTTATTTTAAGGTTTATTTTCTTAGTTGTATTTTCAGTTTATTCTCAAGTTTATTTACAAATTTATTTTTTCAAACTTAAGTTTATTAAAAAGTTTGTTTTTAATTCCAAGTTTATTTAATTAATATACAAATTAAATATTAGTTAGGTTTATTTATTTTAAAGTTTTCTTTTCAAGTTTATTTTTAGTAGTATTTTCAGGTTTGCTTTTAAAGTTTATTTTTCCTAGTTTTTTAAAGTTTATTTTAAGGTTTATTATTCAAGTTTACTCTTAAGCTTATTTGTTTAAGTTTATTTCTAGGGTGGTTTTCCAAGTTTATTTTTTCTAGAGTTTCAAGTTTACTTTTCCCAGGTTTATTTTTTCCAAGTTTATTTTCACACTATTATAATATACAAACGAATTTTCATATAGGGAGTATTAATATATTCGAAACAATAAATAAAACTTTATGAGAAAAAGTCAAACACACAACGCGCTCTAGTTTAGCCCATTAATTATTCATTGTTTATTCAAGCATTATTTATTTTTATTAAAGTGTAGTTCATCACAAATTGCAATATACACGTTATTGGGCATTTTGGGCATTTTTGCCGTTAGAAAAAATTTTTTTTTGAACAAAAAATTTTTTTTTCTTATTTTTAAGAGAAGGACAAGGAAATTTTATTCCTCTAAAAATAATAAAAAAAAAAATTCCAGGACACCAATTAATTGTAATAGACTGTTATTTATATAATAAAATATGTACATATGTAGCTTTTCTAAAGCTTGAAAACAAAAAAAGGGGGGATTAATTTGGAAAATAAAAGAAAGCGGTAAAACGTTTGTCGGGAAAAAATAAAAAAAAAATAAAAAGAAGCCAGTCTAATTTATATCTTTAAAGAACGAATTTAATATATAATGAGGACGAAAAGGGAGGTTGAAATGATGCTGGAAAATTCAATTTCTAGGCAAAATTTAATTTGGCCGGCCAAATTCAATCCTTAAAAAGATGCGTTTTACCTTTTCAAAGCTGGGTTTGGAGGTCTATGAAAACTTCTTGTATTTTGGAATCTATGAGCAGTTGGACTGGCCAAACACAGATTTGGAAGATTGAATGCCAATAAATCATAACTCCACCTATATTTTTTCTGGCTGGCCAAATTAAAATTTGGACTGAAACTAAAAAAGACTAGAAACAAGAATTTAGTAAACCAGAAAAAAGTAGGTGGATGAAATTTCTTAAACAATGAATCAAGAGTCGAAGATTTTTGGTTCGATAAAGAAAAATCTGATAAGCATAAGCCTTCGGAATCCAAAAGGCGTTTTGTCCGCACCCGCAGAAAGCCCTGGTCTGGGCTCATTCCGTGATGGTTCAATTCCATCTCCCATTCAATGAACTTTTCCTCAGCATGAACATTATAAAAGTAAATATTGAAACCAAGAAAAAATAAGGAAGGATGATAAAATAAATTCTCTAATAATTTTTTTAAAAAGCTAAAATGCTTGAAAATTATAGTAAACTATGATTGATATGCCTTCAAATTAACAAAAAATAAAAATTAAAAAAAAATAACGACAGGTGTGGCAAAAGGGAAAAAATAAAAAGAAAAATTATATTTTTGAATGGGAAAATAAATTATAATTTTTATTTTCTCAATTTTAGCAAAGTTTTTGGAAAAAAATTAAAAAATAAATTTTTTGAGCAACTAGCACAAATCTGAAGATAATAATTCGAATATAGGGCTCTAGGGATGTAAAAGCTTCCTGATAAAAGACCACCGACTGGCTAATGACGCCTTTGGGAAGTTGGGAGTCATTACAGATTATTAATATATTTTATTTGTTTTTTGGACTTTAAACTTATAAATAAAATTTTTATGGGAATCTGAACTACTTCCAAAACAATATGCATACAAAAACGAGACTGTTCTGGAGATGATGATGGACATAAACTTGGGTTAGGCAAATGGATTTTCCCAGCCAAACGTGGACCGAAATTCCGAAATCTTACCGGTACCGAGAGTAACGGAAAGTACCGTTTCTGTACTGATGTTAGTACCGCGGTAATAAAAACTAGAGACCGGACTGGCAGTGTCGAACGAGAATCGAGAACTCGAAAATTCTCGATCTCGATAACCGAGATTTTCGATCGAAATCACGTCTCGGTCCGGTCTCTAATATAAACCTGGCTTTTCCTTCGAGGGTAGGGATCAAGGTTGGCGGATCAAGGTTGGTCCGGATCCGAAAAAGGCCGGATATCCGGAAATTTTCGATTCGAATAACGGATCCGGATATCCAAAGAATTCCAACTATCCGCCAATCTTAGTAGACTATAAAACAGGAAGGAGCTCGTTTCCGCCTTTCATCTTCCACCAAATTCTATTATTTTTCTAGTCTTTCGCTTTTTAAAATAGTACATAAAAGCCCTTCCCTATAATAAATTAAGTTGACTTCTTAATGAACTCGTCTCTATAAAATTAAGAAATTTAAAAAAATATTCAGTCTACATATAATTAAAAATAATAAAATTAAAAGCAAAATTAAATTGTTGACGTTATTCTTAATTAATTATTGCAAAAAAATTTTTTTTATTTTGTTTCCTTATTTATTTAACATAACAAATATGCAATTAGTACGTAAATGGGCTACAGAAAAAAAATTAATTTTTGTTTTAAATTTAATTAAGCAACAAAAAATTTTTTTTATTTAATTAATACGTGTGGTAATAATAAATAGAAAATAATGTAGAAATTATATTATAATTATAAGCCAATTTTGGTCAAAATGACCATATGAGAAAATTCCCAATTTTAAAATTACCGTATATGTCGAAGTAATAATTACCATGGGTAGTTATTGTGTCAACATCTCGCTAGGGAGAGATAATGTTTGGAGGGGGGGATTATTTGAGAGAGACTTCTAAAGTGGTTAGTGTGCCTCTCCCTAGAGAGGGTAATTAATCGGGGTGGGGGGGGGGGGGGGGGGGAGAGGGTGATTAATTGGGAGAGTAATTACTCGAGCATATACGGTAGATTCGTAAACCGGTTGATAGACACAGTGGTTATTGTGGTGTTTATAAGTGTGGTGTTTAGTATAGTATGAAAATTGTTATTGTCCAGACTGTTGATGCGGGGCCTCTTGTTGAACTTGTGGTGGTTGTTGGAATGAATATTGCTGCGCCATTTTTGGTTGGTATTGCTGTGGAACTCCTTGTTGTGGTTGTTGCTGTTGTAATGATGATTGTTCTGGGTTGTACTGCTGTGGTGCTTGTTGTTGTGGTACTTGCTGTTGGGGTTGCTGTTGGGGTTGCTGTTGTGGTTGATACATCTGTGGCTGTATTTGTTGTGGTTGTTGCTGTGGCACTTCTTGCTGTACTAATTGTTGTTGTGGTGGTTGCTGTGGCACTTCTTGCTGAATTGGCGTCTGTTGTCCTAACTGATTTTGAAGTTGCTGGGGAACCGTTTGTGAGGGTTCTTGCTGATTTCCCGAGGGTGGCATATTACCAGCATTCCCCAAAAGTAGCTGGGCAACAATTCCTTTTAAAAGACCATCATTTCCAGCCATAGGGAAGGGTATTGAAGAACCAGAACTTCCTCCTCCAAAATTAACAAAATTTGCATTGACATCTTCCCCTTCAGGAATTGATGGAGGAGGATTTTTATCATTATTGTTAAAGTTAAAGCTATTTAAATTGACTTTTGGTGGAAATTTGTCGTTTTTTGGCTCTTTATTAGGTTGATCTGAAAACGTAGATTTTCTGTTTAAATTTAAAAATATCCTCACTATTAATTGGTTGTGAATCCTGTTTATTAGAGTTCTCATTTACTTTACTAGGATTTGTATTTGGTTGATAATTATTTGGGGTGTCTAAATTTTGTTGAGAAGACCCTGCTGTATCTGGCTGCTGAGCATTATTATTGTTAGGCTGAACTCCCTGATTGTTATAGCTATTATCAGAAGGCGGATTATAAGTCTAGAAAAAATAGAATTATAGATGGATCTTGCTTAAGTATCTTTGGGATGGAAGGGCATAGTTAAGCTAAGTGGCCCTTAAATTAGCTAAAAATTGGTTAGCTCCACTAACAAATAAGTGTTATGAAATTTAAAAAATCGTTGCCCAAGGGTTTGTCACACTCTCTTAAGTCTCCTATCAAAATTTGTTAATGCCACTGTGAGTGTCTCATTCACTTATGTTATGACATAGGTGAGACTGAAAGTATCAGATTTTTCCATAAGTTCAGATTTTTGTTCGGATTTGTTCATTCAGAGTTTTTCTTTGGAAAATTCATTCACCTGTTGCTGCATTGCTGTATCCCACCCGTTATATGCTGGTTGTTGTACTTCTGGTTGCTGTTGTTGATCTTGTGTGTCTCTCATAGAAGGTTGTTGTTGGCCAGTAGAAGGGTCAGCTACAAATTGGCCATAAGGAGGATCTTGGTTGCTAGAAGGGTCAGCTACAAATTGGCCGTAAGGAGGGTCTTGATTACTAGCAGGATCGGCTACAAATTGAGGAGGTTGTTGTTGAGGAGAAGCCACAAATTGTTGACCTTTAGAGTTTACAATTAAAAATAACAGAAAAACAGCTAACAGAGCAAAAGCCATTTTTTAATTCAAATAAATTTAAAATTGAATGAATGCCTTATTTGGGCATTTCTTTACTCAAAAAAATAATTTCGCAAGTCCACTAACAGATGTGCAAACTTTTAAAAAATAGCTGCACTTTCATATTAAGCGAGAGAATTTTTAGGAGTCTTTTTTTATTAAATTTAAGAAGCAGCTCTCATCTGCTATCCATCAGACAGTCTTTGAACTAACTTGAAAATAAAAAGGGTGGAATACTTCAAGTTGAGATATTTTTAAAATTTAGTTAGCCACTGGGTATGGGAAGTGTTCTAAGCAGTGGCTGGAATTTTATAATTTCTCGTTATCGTAATCTTGTACAGGCCTTTTTTACCTCATCCTAGTATGGCTCCGGTACAAAATATGGAATCGTTAAAATATGGAATGGTTAAAATCGCGAATAGGCTAAAAAGGGGTTAAAATACCGAATCGTTAAAATATGGAATGGTTAAAATATCGAAACGGGTAAAAAAGGGTTAAAATATGGAATCGTCAAAATATCGAATTGATAAAATGTCGACACGGCCAAAATGGGTCAAAATGTCGAATTCCTTTAAAAAAGGTTCAGATGAGTGCCATACGTTGATTGTTGATAATTTTATCAACCTATCAACTTACTGCTGATAAGTTGGTTGAAAAGTTTGGTAAGTCTTAGTCCGGCGTAATCTTTTCTCCTGAGTTCAGTGTATTTTACGGAGTAAAACCGGACCGGTTAAATCAAGCATAATCGACCGGATCCGGTCCGGCATGATCGTACGGATCCGGAAAACACAACAGGATCCCGATACGGAAAAATTAGAGTAGCGTCACTAGTTTTTAGTTAAGACCTAAATTTTGTACCTTACCGTATACGGTACGGAATACCGAAAAATACCGATCAGCTTTTAAATTTTATCGGTCGGCATTCCGTACCGTACTACCGAAACGGAATACCGAAAAATACCGTCGGTATTACGGTAACGCCCGGATTTTAGGTTTTGGCGCCATTTTTAAAAAAAATTCGACATTTTGACCCATTTTGGCCGTGTCGACATTTTATCAATTCGATATTTTAACGATTCGGTATTTTAACCCCTTTTTAGCCTATTCGCGATTTTAACCATTCCATATTTTAACGATTCCACATTTTGACCCCTTTTTAGCCTATTCGCGATTTTAACCCATTTTTACCCGATTCGAGATTTTAACCCTTTTTTAGCCTATTCCATATTTTAACGATTCGATATTTTGTCCGGACACGCCTAGTATTCGTACACAGGTACGAGCATAAATTTTGGTATTAGCTTCCAAACACTGGTTCTAAGTGATACCCCTCCCAATATTGGATCTAGATAGTAGAATGCTTTCGAACTAAAGTGTTCCTGCGCCTCTAGGAGTGATTAACATGCTTACAAAATTGGGAGAATGAAGGGAACTTTTGGAGAAACAAAACGATACTTAAAGATTTATACACACAAAATATGGAAAAAATAAAGCTTTACGAAAAAATAAAATTAAAAATGGGTATGAAGCTAAAATCGTTTTTAATTAAATTGAAGAAAATGCTTTAATTAAAAAAGTAAAAATAAATCCATCAGGGAGGAAATACACCGGCACAGGAATGACTAAAATTAAATAATTGTATAGAATTTTGAGGAAATTATTTTTTGAATTAAAAAATATCAATATTGAAGTGCTGATTAGACGAACAAAAAAATAAGAGAATAATTAAATTAAATAGGTATAGGATAAACCTGGTAGGTCAAAGCCAGAAGGTCAAGAAAGATCAAATGGCCTTAAAGGTCAACTCCAAATAGTCAACTCCAAAAGACAGTAAAGCAGCTGGGCTATAACTATTTCTCTCCTTTAGCTAGTGCAAAAGTTTATTCGGCTGTTGAAGCGAACGAGTATCTTCAGTAGACCGGACTGATGTGTTAGCCATTACACCACGCCGCCTACAGCACAGTAATATGAATTAAATAGCTATATGCTTTACGAGATTAGATAGTATTAAGAAGGGTTATTTATGAATTTCTTGGTTTTTTTAATTGGATTAAGGGAGAGAAGACGAAAATTCAACACAACGCATTCTTCCCTTATATCCGCCCAAATATTTGGAGTGCCTTTTAGAGTTGACCTTTAGGTACATATTTAATGGGATTGTCGGAATATTGCATAAAACAAAATTGAAAAAGATTAAAAAATATTTTTATTCATTCAAATGGCACTGATGTAGGCGAAGAAGAAGATGAGCAATTAGAAGGTGTAGCCCTCAAAGCCGTTAGATGGGGAGTACTTCTTGGGGCAGCAACAGATCTACTACTAACAGGACTCTGACCACCACAACCATCAGATTTCACTAGTGTTTCTTCACTGGCAGTTTTACGGGAAGTATTTTGTTCTGTCTCCTGATAAAAAATTAAGTTCAAAAAATATAATAATGGAAGTTACCTTTAGTCTTTGAATTTCAGTTGACTGGTCTTGAATAACTTGAAGCAATGCCTGGAAAAAATAATAAGTAAATGGAGGAGAAAAAAATCAGAATTAATAATTAATAAACATTCCGGAAAAATCAGAATTTAATATTTTAATTGATACCAGAAAGATGTTTCCGGAAAATTACAAAAATATTTCCGGAGAAATCAGAATTAAATATATAAGAAAATTAACAATTTTCCGGAAAAATCAGAATTTAGTTAAAATTCAAGAATATGTATTAACATTTTTCCGGATAGACTTTTTCCGGAAAATATAACCGGGAGAACCAGAATTTAATTAATATCTCCGGAAAATTAAACAAAAGTTTCAGGAAAAACATTTCTGGAAAAATCAGAATTTAATATTTTAAATGATACCAGAAAAATGTTTCCGGAAAAATTAAAAAGATATGTATTTCCGGAAAAAATCAGAATTTAGTTAAAACTCAAGAATATTAAACATTCCTACCGGAAAGAACTTTTCCGGAAAATATTCCCGGGAGAATCGGAATTTAATTAATATTTCCGGAAAAATCAGAAAAAGTTTCCGGAGAGGTATTTCCGGAAAAATCAGAAAAATAGTTTCGGAATATTTACTTTAATATAACAGAATTAACACACCTTCAAATGATTCATTAAAGGGGCAGCTATAGCAGTTAGTCTATAGCAAGGTACTGAGGGAAGATTTCGTTCAGTCTCATCCACCTTCTCTTCTGTTTTATTTACAGTATTCATTCCTTGATTTATACAATCCAAAAGTCTATTTCCATGTACTATTGCAGACATGGCCAGTTCTTTTGAATTTCTTTGTTTTAATTCTGCAACAGCAAGTCCAGTCATTAATTCTGTTATACGTTCCAATTCTTTTGGATTTACGATAGACTGGAAAAAAATTTTTTTTGAAAATTTTTGAAAAAAATTTTTTGAAATTTTTTTTTAATTTTTGAAAATTTTTTTTGAAAAATTTTTTTGAAAATTTACCAAAATTTTTTTAAAAAATTTTTAACTTTTTTCTAAATTTATCAAAAAATTTTTTTGAAAAAATTTTCAAATTTTTGATTTTTTGGCGATTATTTTAATTTCAAAAAAACTAGAAAAAATTTTTCGGAAGTTTTTTAAATTTCTGAAAAATTTCTGAAAATTTTTTCTAAATTTATAAAAAATTTTTTTTATAAATTATTATTTAATAATTTACTTTATCCCCCTCTTCTAGCAAAATTTCAGACAATATCTGATGTTTTTCTGCTAATGCACTAATAATTATTTTATCATTTTTGCGAAGTCGATCAGCTACAGACATTATAGGTTGAGCATTTTCCATAATTTTGGGTTGTTGAATTACGATCTCATTCTTTAAAAATACAAAAATAAAGCCGGATCCTACTATAAGATATCCCCTTTTAATTGAAAAATTGTATCATATGAATAGGGTTGGGGGCCAGGGGTGTGCGAGTTTCGCCTTTCGTCTTTCGCCGATTTTCGCCTTTTTTGGACTTTCGTCTTTCGCCGTTCGCTTTTTAAAATCACTTTCGGCACACCCCTGTTGGGGGCATCGCTTAAACAGCAAAGCTATTGTTTCGATGTATATTTTAAAGATTGATCGAGACGAGATCTCGAACGAACTCGATTCGAACAAAACGAACTCGATTCTCGTACGACCCTCCCAGTTGGGTCCCTAGTACAAATAATTGAGGTAATAAAGTCCGAGTTTTTAGTTTTCTCATTTTTTAAATTTTTTAAAAATCGAAAAACTAACAGCATTAACAAGTGCTGGATGTGTCAAAACATGTACATGCTCAACTTTAGCTACTTGATGTTGTAACCCAGAATCAACAACATTCGCTCTTTGGGCTAATAATGGAGGTGGAGTTGCCCTATTTTGTTGTTGTTGTACTCCACTAGTTAAAATCCCATCAAGAATATTGTCAAAATCTGTTGGAATGGGAGAGGAACGGGTAACAGAAACTTGATTTTCGATCAACCGGAACCAACTAGAAAAAAAATTTTTTTCTGAATTTTAGCTGAAATTTTCCTAACGTTTTCCTCTCTGTAGCTGTTTGCGCAACTAATTCAAATACCCTCAGATCACTCTTATAAAGTAAATTGAAAGAACGCTTATCCCCAGGCTTTTCTTCTACCTCAACTGCCGATAGCCGCATTATAGGAATACAACCAGCCTTAAATTAAATTTTATTTTTCAAAAAATATTTAAGGGAATTTTACTTCATGAATTTTTAATTGCAATTTTTGAGGGGTTGAAGCACTTCCAGAATCAGAACCCAATTTTGTTAGGAAAACAAGTAAATGTTCTAATAGAACAACATGTAAATCTAATGTTTTGCCGCGTGCTTGACGCCATTGTAAGTGACCATCATAAATAAGTTTGTGACTAAAATATTAATTAAATATTTGTAAAACATTTAAATATCCGGAAAATAAAAGTTATCCTGAAAATGGAAAATAAAATGTTTGTAAACTGAATATAAAGTGTCATTAATGAAACATTAAAATTTTATAAAAACATTTCCGGACAAATCAGAATTTTATATAAACATTTCCGGAAACACCAGAATTTTGGAAAAACATTCCGGAAGAATCAGAATTTTAGAAAAACATTCCGGAAAAATCAGAATTTTAGAAAAACATTCCGGAAAAATCAGAATTTTAGAAAAACATTCCGGAAAAATCAGAATTTTAGAAAAACATTCCGGAAAAATCAGAATTTTATAAAAACATTTACGAATAATCAGAATTTTATAAAAACATTTCCAAAAAAATCAGAATTTTATAAAAACATTTCCGGAAAATCAGAATTTTATAAAAACATTTACGAATAATCAGAATTTTATGAAAACATTTCCAAAAAAATCAGAATTTTATAAAAACATTTACGAATAATCAGAATTTTATAAAAACATTTCCAAAAAAATCAGAATTTTATAAAAACATTTCCGGAAAATCAGAATTTTATAAAAACATTTACGAATAATCAGAATTTTATGAAAACATTTCCAAAAAAATCAGAATTTTATAAAAACATTTCCAAAAAAATCAGAATTTTATAAAAACATTTCCGGAAAAATAGAATTATAGAAAAACATTTCCGGATAAATCAGAATTTCAGAAAAACATTTCCGGATAATCAGTATTTTATAAAAACATTTCCAAATAATCATAATTTTAGAAGAAATAGAGTCTATAAAAAGATTGAGTATAGAAAAAAATCAGAATTTAAGATATTAAAAAATAAAAACATACGCTCTAAAGTCAAAACGTTGAAAAAAGCTCTTTTCACATCCAGTAAAATCTAATCTTTGTTGAAGCTCTTCCATTCTTTTTTCATTTTCAGCATTTCTTTTATCACTATTTACAACAGAAAGAATACGTTTTGCCCGTTCAATTCCATGTAATAAATGTTGTAATTCTTCACTACCTTCTCTTGTATATTTTGCTATAGTTTCCAGAAGGAGGGGATATTTAACTAATCTTTGCATTTCTACCTATAGAAATTAAAATAATGTGACCGGAAAATCTAGACAGAATTAATTAAACATATATGGAAAAACCAGAATTTAATTTAAAATGTTTCCAGAAGTATCAGAATTTTATAAAAACATTTCCGGAAAGATCAGAATTTACTGATGTGTTTCAGTAAAAACCAGAATTAAATTTAAACATGTTTTCGGAAAGATCAGAATTTACAACGAAAAAATGTTTCCGGAAAAACCAGAATTTCCCAAGAAAAATGTTTTCAGAAAAATCAGAATTTAATTAAAACATTTCAAGAAAAATCAGAAACTTATACTAAAAATGTTTCCGGAAAACCAGAATTTAATTTAAAAATTCCGGAAAAATCAGAAGTTCCCAAACAAAATCGAAAAATCAGAATTTCCCAAGAAAAATGTTTCCAGAAAATCAGAATTTAATTTAAACAATTTTATTCTCCTACCGGAATCATGTCCTTTAATTGAAGTTTCCGGCAAAGAGGGTTGTTTTCTGCCTACAAAAATAAATTTAAAAATTTTTTTAAATTTTAATCTGAGTACCTCAGAGAGGAATTGAGAGAAGGGGTCATCTTTTGCCTTACTATACCTTTAATTTAATTAATTTTATTTTTACTATATTTTCCCCCTACCTTTGCCTTAAAGTGTCAAGTGCATGTTGCTGATTTCGACAAAATAAGGCAGTATTATGCATCAATTTTTCGCCAATAGCCCCATCAAATAAATTAACAATTAATTCTCCAATATCACCATAAAGTCCCCCTCCTCCATTCCCTACCCCAAAACGCTGCCAATTTTCAACAGCCGCCCTCATTTTTGAATTCATTTCGGAATGTACTTGAAGCAATTCGTCCAAATTCCCAAAAAGTAATTTTATTAGTTCTGGGGAAGCTACTCTTTGCATGATCATTGGACGGTAGAATATTTTGTAGAGAATTTTTAGGTTACGTACATGTGTTCTTTCTGTGTGGAATAATTCTGAAAATTGAAAAATTATTTTTTAGAACATGTAAAATTCAGAATCTTATATTCTCTTTTAATTTGCAAAACCAGAATATTTTGAATTAAAAACCAGAATAATTTTCTGAATTAAAAAACTTGAAGCTTTTGAACTATAAAATCAGAATTCTGTATTTTTAATTTAAGAAATCAGAATTTTTCGGTTTATAAAATCGGAATTCTCTGTATTGTAAACCAGAATTTTTAAATTAAAAATCAGAATTTTCTGAATTAAAAAACCCAAAGCTTTTGAACTGTAAAATCAGAATTCTGTATTTTTTGAATAATAAAATCAGAATATTTTTAATTAAAAATCAGAATTTTCTGTATTAAAACCAGAATTTTTTAATTAAAAAATCAGAAGTTTTAAGATTAAAAAATCAGAATTTTGTAGCGTAGGAAAATACAAAATTCTGATTTTATATACATGCATAACCCGTGAAGAAATACATTTAAAAAATCAGAATTTTTTAATTTTACATAACCAGAAATAAAACAAAAATCAGAAATTAAATAACCTACCGTTAATCACTTCTTGTCGTTTTTTCTCTTTAGGTTTTAAATGCTTCAGAACTTCCCACCCAACAAGAGATTCAAGGCTTGGTACTTCTGTCTCTACCTTTAAATTTGATAAATTCTGATTAATTTAAGAGTAAGTATTCACCTCCAAATCACTATCCCCATCAGCTACCGCCGTCCTCTCCACAAGCTCCACCATTTTCCTTGCTTCTTCTTCACTGCTAGTACCAGTGGAGGAGCTAGCGACTGCTTCCGTGCCTCGTACAATATGGGGGAATTCATGGAATGCCTTTAGAATTAATAATATTATTTTTAAGATTACTCTTAAATTTTCGAATAATTGCCCTCCATTAAATAATTATCCCCTCTCTATTAATAATCCCTTCAATGCTGTCTGTATCTGTATTCTATAACATTAAAAAATTTTTTTGCCTGTGAAAGCTCTTGAGCAGAAGAAGAACTACTTTTCAATGAAGAAACGGATGGAACCGCTAATTGGGAGGTTATCGGCCGTTGCTCATCTGCTGAATCAGCAGCACCCAGACTACCAGCACCTTTTGCTCCTCTTTTGATTTGGTTGGCTGCTTCTCCCTAATTTTAAAAATTATTTTATATTTTAATAAATTATTCTTCGAACTAATTTAAAAATAATTTTTAAATTCAGTTAATTCATTAAATAAGCCTCATTAAAAAATACGCACCAAAATAACGAAACAGAGAAGGGAGTTAATAAGAATTAAAATATAAAAAGAGTAATCTGATTTTTAAAAACGAAAAAATCAGAATTAATTCTGAAAAAAACTAGAATAAAATAAAAACAGAATTAATTCAGAAAAATCAGAATAAAATAAAATCAGAATTAATTCTGAAAAAAATCAGAATAAAATAAAATCAGAATTTACTTAAAATCAGAATAAAATAAAATTAGAATTAATTCTGAAAAAAATCAGAATAAAATAAAATCAGAATTTACTTAAAATCAGAATAAAATAAAATCAGAATTAATTCTGAAAAAAACCAGAATAGAATAAAATTAGAATTAATTCTGGAAAAAAATCAGAATAAAATAAAATCAGAATTAATTCTTAAAACCAGAATAAATAAAATCAGAACTCAGAATTAATAATTAATCCAAAAACAATTTAAAATTTAAATCAGAATTAGTCATTAAAATCAGAATTAAATAAAATCAGAATAATTTAACAAAGACAGTATTAAATCAGAATTTAACATCAAAAATAAATAGAAAACCCTTCAAAATTTTCTAAAAATTAAAAAAAAATACAATAAATGAAAGAGCTCCATTAGACAACTCAGCCACGTTCTGCTGCGATTTTGAACGATGTATGGGCAGTGGTGATAGAGGAATAATTAAATTGTGGGATTTTCGCCGCAAACTAGTGTAGCCATTCCGGCCAATTTTTAAAGAATCATTGGCAATCATTAAAATATTATTTTTATTTTTTGTTTTGTGATTAGCTTCAAAAATCACTCCTTGATGGGGTAGGAAAAAGGGGAGAAAATTTGTAGAATTTTTAAAATTATTATTAATCGATTTTGTTGTTGTTTCTGGCATTTTTTAAAGCTAAAAGCAAAATTTAAGAATCAGAAATAATGTTAAATAAATCAGAATTTAATTAGAAGGATTCTAGTAAAATCAGAAAAATTATTATGAGAATGAAACAAAATTTAAGAAATAATCAGAATTTTATGATAGAAAAATAAAAAAAACCAGAAAAAAATCAGAATTCAATAATGAAAAAATCAGAATAAAACTAGAAAGGACCAGAATTTGAAATAATAAAATCAGAATAATATCAGTAAAAATCAGAATTCTATAATAAAAAAACAGAAAAAATAACAGAATTTTGTAATAAAGAATCAGAATAAAATATAAATTTAGTCAAAATCTTACAAATAAAATCAGAAAAAAATATCAGAATTTTGTAATAAAAATCAGAATTAAATCAGAAAAAGTATCAGAATTTTTAATAAAAAGTAGAATAAAAAATCTGAAAAAATCAGAATTTTTTAATAAAAAATCAGAATGAAATCAGAAAAATATCAGAATTTTGTAATAAAAATCAGAATATAAAATCAGAATATTGTAGTAGAACATGTCAGAATAATAATAAAAAGAATAACAACAAAAAGCCTAGCATGTCAATTTGAAATATTGATAAGAAAGGTGGCATATGAAATACACACATTACAATTTAATTTTAAAAAAATTAAAAGAAGGGAAAAAAATACATCAAGCATAAGTAAAGATTATAATGAATTACTAGACAGCCGTCTAAAAACCTTTCAAACTTTTCAAAAAAAATTTTTCTTCTTTCCTTTCTCATCATAGCTCAAATTAAATGAGAAAAGGAATGCTTATTGCTTTTTTATTTTTTTTTCTTTGGCTTTTTCCCAATAATTTATTTTTTTTTTATCCGATTTCAAAAAGTTGTTCTTCTCTTCTATTCTCTTCTAACTAACATTTAAAAAATAATATACTCATATTTCTCCCTTCTTTTTTCCCTAAAAACCACAAAGGAAATGAGAGGGAAATACGAGAATTAAAAAAAATTTTTTTTTTCAAGGCAAGTGTAAAAATGTGAAATCTTCTTTAAAGGAATTAAAAATTAGCTTAAAAAGAAAAAAGAAACAAAAAAAGGCAATTAAAAAATGAAAGCGGATTTTGTGTGTTGAAAAGAATCGTTAAATTCTTTAAAAAAATATTTTATTCTTTTGGACTAAAATTTAAAATATAACGAAAAAAAGAAACAAATTTTAGTTAATTAGTAGGGTTAGTTCAAAAGATCAAACGGAAAAAAAAGAAGACAAATTTTAGTTAATTAGTAGGGTTAGTTCAAAAGATCAAACGGAAAAAAAAGAAGACAAATTTTAGTTAATTAGTAGGGTTGGAGCCCGGTCTAGTTCGAAAGATCGAGTCGGGCACCGAATTTTGGCTCGGAAAAGACTCGGTCGGTCCTGCCCGAAAAAAATGATTCGAACGCCGACCCGACTCGAAAACCCCAACCTTATTAATTAGCAATAAAATCGTTATTATTTTAACCTTCTAAAAGACACATCCTTCTAAACAAGGAGGGTGTCTTGTTAAAGAGGATGACAACAATGGAAATTTAAAAAAATCAAATATAGGAAGAAAAAATATCGGAAAACGGACTTCGAATTCCCAACCATCTCTGACTAGTATTTTTAGTGTTTAATCAAAATTTGAATTAAAGTAAAATTATTCTATGTGAACTTTTAATTTTTATTGAAGCTAATTTAAATAATTTTGAGTCAAAATTCAAAAATAAATTTTTTTTAACCTTTGATATCGAACTAGATATTTTTCAAAAATATTAAAATTACCTTCATGCTTTGAGAACGAGTTGGGCCAATACTTGAATGTTGTTGCTGAACTTGTTGTTGTTGCTGTTGTTGAACAGTAGCTCTAGGCAGATCGCTAGCCGTTCGGCCTATCCCTCCATGCATTGGAGCTGTGGAGGGCATGGAGGCTGTAGTCACTTCGGTTCCAATGCCTGAATCCATCGATTTTAACTGTCCGTGCCCTGCACCTGTTGCTGCGGCTGTTGAGGGTTGAAGTGTAGAAGCAATGTTTAATGGAGTCTAAAAATAAATTTGTAAATTTTAATAATATTGAAAGTAAAAATGTAGATAGGCTTTGCTTCATAAAAATAACTCCACCCTGATTTTTCGAGTTTAAGCATGATTTTAAAGCTAACCTAACTGAAACAAAATAGTTTGAGCTTCCCGTCCTGATATAGTCTCAAGGCTTAAGTTTTTTGGTACTGATCTTGAGGTCCTAATCTTGAATCTCGAGATTAATGTTTCGACAAAAGCTTTAGACATAAATACCAATTTTTCTTTTAAAAGAGATATTTTAACGATTTACAACTGATTAAAGTGACACTGGGACAGCTATAGTGCAATACAAAGGGGTCTAACAAAATCGAATGTTCCCCAACACAAGAAAGACCGAATATTACAGAATATTTTTAAAATTTTTTTGTTAATTCCATAAGGGGCATCACAATAGTAAAGATAAAGGAGAATGCATGAAAACAAACTCAAAATAAACCTAAGGGTATGCCCTCAAGAAAACATATGATTATTGCCCTCGAAACATGAAAGTAAATTAAAATGAGAGGATAAATTAAGAGCAAGTCTTGAGGGGGGATATTAAATAGTGTAAAAATTAAAGATTAAAAAATAAATTGAGAATAAGTAAAATCCTAAAACAGCTTGTGTACTCTTAAAATATTTTTTAAAATTTATTTAATCACCTCACTTAACTACTAAAGAATATTTTTCAAAGAATTTGTCAAGTGAAAATTTGAATTTTCATAAATACATGTGTACTTTCCGGCATCCAATTTAAAAATATTATTAAAAATATTTTTAATTTATAAAAATATTTAAAGAAAAGGATAAGAAAAAAGATGTCAATTTCACAAAGTGTTTTTATTTTTTATTATTTTTTGGCACTGTGAAATTTTTATAAGATGTCTCATTAATCCGTCCTAAACCCATAGTATTTATTTTTAATCCGAGAAAACAAATATTTTTTGATATTATTCAAGATTATTATTGTTTTTAGGGAAATATTTTAAAAGGAAAAATAACTTAAGTAGATGAAAAAACAAAACAAAAATAAGAAAAAAATAAAAAAAGTGTCATAAAAAATAAAGAAAAATTCAATTTTAGGCTATCAAAAATATTTTTTCCCTGATAATTTAATAATGATTTGAGGAATTTAGTAATGACGCAAAAACAATTTATGCTATACATATAAAAAGCAATGAAGCTTCATTAGTAGTCCTTTTTTTGAATTAACAATAAGGAAAAATACAAAGAATGAATGTTTTTAGATTGGGTGTAAAAATAATCCAGAAGAGCAAACAAAACATTTTGAGAACAAAATAAAAGTTTTACAAATATGAATCAAGTTTACAATGTTGTTTTTGTAAAAATTGAATAAAAACATGTTTTACAAACTTTATTTTACAAATGTTTGTTAACATGTTTGAACAACTTAGATGAACAACTTAAACTTAAATGAACAAGTTTGTTTTTTAAATTTGTACTTAAATAAACAAAGTTTGTTTATGACCTTAGTTTGAACAATGTTTTACAAACCTAGACTGGTTATGAAAAAGTTTTACAAACTTAAATAAACAAGTTTGTATAAACTAAGTTTGTAAAACAAGTTTGTTTATGAAAGAAGTTTGAACGATGTTTTACAAACATGTTTTTATGAACTAAGTTCGAACTGAGTTCATCCGAACATTGTTTATGTTCGTACAAACACAAACATGTTTTAATAAGATTTTTGATAAAACATGTTTTACAAATAATGTTTATAACTGTAAAACATTCAAGTTTGTACTCAACAATAAAAATTGAATTAAAAACTTAAGTTTGTAAACCATGTTTTAGATTAAATAATTTTATAATTATAGGCATTTAAGCTTAAATGTTTATGAATAAAAATTTAAAAACAATTATATATAAGTTGATATTCTGGACTAAAAATAAATACACACACCGCCTAAAGGTCCATATTTATGCTGCCCTTCACAATATTCCCATTCATTCCCCAAAAATATACAAATAAATTCTCTCAACATTTTAATGCTTTTCTTATAAAAATATAACAAAATTATACCTCTATTTGCCCATTTCCGGTTGTTTTCTGCAATGGTGGCGGTGGAGGAGGAGCGCTGCTAGGGGGAATATCTGGAGGAAGAATTCTTTCAAATCGACTGCTAAAGACGGGTGGGGGTAACATGGCAGACTAAAAAATTTTTAAAATACACGTAAACATTCCTTTTATTTCCCCACCGAAGAGGGTGGCGATGAGCCAGAATCTAAGCTTTCCATGTGTGTTTGTTGCTGATGTTGTAGACGAACAACAGCAGCAGGTACAGGAGGACCCCCTCCATTTGTAGTTGCGTCAGCGTCGATTAATTCGGGTGGGATAAGATCATTTCCGTGCCGATCGATGCTTGAATTTTCTTTTGAAGAACCAGCCATAGCAACAACCGAAGCACTAGTAGAATGATGTGAGCGATTAATGGGGGGTGTTAGGGAGATGGAAGATTTTTGACTTGGCAATAAATTTAAGTGTTGTTTTTGTACTAATTGATGTTGCTTGGTTAATGCTAAACTGGGGGAAGAGAATACAGATTCTGTGGAGAGTAAAGAAGGGGGGTAATAATGGTGGTGGAGAAGGCCTGAAGAAGAAACGTTAGAATCCTTGTGATAATGTTGTTGGGGAATACGGGCTGGACCTGATAATAGAAAAAAAAATTTGGAATTTTTTGAAAATCTTTTTTACTAGTTAAAGAAGTGGTTGAAACAGCTACAAGCTTCGAACGTCCAGAAAAAGGTTGTTGTTGTTGGCTTCCACCCTTACCCACTTTTTGTTGTTGTTGGGGCCAGCAATGATCAATCTAAGAGTTTGTTGGAAAATTAAATTTGTAAAAATGTTTGTTAATATAAATTGTTGGTTTGTAAAAAACATTAAATACTTACAAGTTGAGAAGTGCAGTTTTTGTGGACAACAACGTCACAATCTGGAAATAAGAAGGTTGGGAATGTTTATGTTTTGTATGTTTTAAACGTTTGTTTCATTAAATGTTTGTTTCATTAAATGTTTGTTTGTTATAATCTTTGCTTTAAATGTTTTTTTAAACGTTTGTTTTAGATGTTTGTTTTATATTGCTTGTTTCAAATGTTTGTTTCAAATGTTTGTTTAAATGTTTGTTTTAAATGTTTGTTTGCTTAAATGTTTGTTTGTTTTAAATGTTTTCTTTAAATGTTTGTTTTACTTTTTGGAATATTAAGACAAACATTTCTATTTTGTAACGGTCAGAAAAACAAGTTTGTAAAAACATTTGCTAAAACAAATTATTAAGTTTGTAACTAAACATTTTAAAAACACAAACATGAATAAATTAAAAACAAAAAATAAAGATTGCAAAACAAAGTTTTGTAAAACATCTCAATAAATATGGTAAACATTTAGTTTTGATGCTAAAATGTTTACAGGACAAAAAACTTAAAAAATATCCAAAAACAAAAACATCAATTTTTAAGTTTGCAAACTTAACATCAAAACAAAACTATAAAACAAAGATTATAAAACCAAACAGTCTACAAACAAAAGTTCTTAACTTATAAATATTTTAAAAAAGTTTAAAGCTTCTTTTATGATATAGAAATATTTCCATTCTCTCAATATGAATAAGAAGAATGATGAATTGCGGGGGCAAGGGAGAGTAAAACAAAAGAAAAAGCCAAGATTTTTAAGCTGTTATATATTCCCTAGAGACAAATTATTCACATAAAACGGGGGAGCCATAACATTTTTCTGCACGCATCTTATTTTTTTATTTGTTTGTACAGACTTTTTGTTTTAAATGATTATGTACAAACATAAAAAAATTTATAAAATAATTATTAAAAGTATTTTTATTTACCACCCTTTTATTAAAAAAATAAATTGTATTTAATATAAACTTACTTTGACAAAAATAGGCCTGAGGATTTACACCCCAAACAGCTTCACGACATTGGTAACAATGGACAGTGACAAAAACTTGTTGTAGAATAAACTGAAACAAAAATTATTTTAAAATTTGTTTAATTTAAAATATGTTTGTTTTATAATCCGATTCTAATAATTAATGTTAAGCTTTTTAAAAACATGCATACAAACATGTTTTTACAAACTTTGTTTTCACAGCAATGTTTTTACGAACTTTGTTTTAATTATTTCATAAAGACAAGTTTTACAATCGTTAGTTATTTCTTTACAAACATGTTTTACAAACTTAATTTATTTAATGTTTCTTTAAAAACATATTTAAATAAACTTTGTTTATTTAAATCATTTCATTAAAAATGTTTTTACAAACTTTGTAAAACATGTTTTACAAACTCTGTTTCATTTAAATTATTTCTTAAGAAACATGTTTTACAAACTTTGTTTTTATAAGAATGTTTTACAAACTTTGTTTTAATTATTTCCTAAAAACAAGTTTTACAATCTTTGTCTATTTATTTCTTTAAAAACATGTTTTACAAACTGTTTTCCTTTAAAAACCTTTGTTTATTTAAATCATAAAACAAAGTTTGTTTAACCGAACATTTAATTCACATTTACATAAAATAGTTTTACAAACTTGGTGTTCTTTAAGTTGTAATTTTTGTTTGATTGAAGTCCCGCCTCCACTACCCAACATTTTAAACATTGAAGTTCCTCCAGTTTTAGGTAATTGACTTAAAAATGTAGGACACTTGTCCAAAAGTTTCTATAGTTTAATAATTTAAAATTATTTTGAAGTAAATGCTGTTTACCTCCCAATTTGAATGATTAGTTCGGAGACCCATAACAACCTAAAAATTATAAAAACTCATTTAAGCTACAGAAACATGGTTGTTTTAATTATTTTAGGTAGTTTCCGGTAAGGATTTCTTGAATTTTTAAGCAGTTCACATCATTTAATGAGAGGATAAAAAAAATTTTCCAAAAAAAAGTTTCCGGTAAACACTAAATTATAAGATTGTAATTTACTTTTATAAGTGTAGCTACAGATATAATCAAGGCTAGCGTTTTTCTTTCGCAATTTCCAAATTCCGGAGGACCTGGAAAACACAAAATTAATTTGGAAAGAGAATATTAAAGACCAATAGGATTAGCCAAATGCATTAAATGAGAAAGTGTTCTAAACAAAATTCTTTCAGATAATCGCAACTCTGCAGAATGATCAGCACGAGCTATGGACTCAAGTTGTGAATATTCCTCAACAAAATTGGGATCTGAGCGAAAACAAAAATAAATTTTAGAAATTTTTGACAAAGATTTTCTGAAATTTTCTACCCAAATGTTTTTTCCTTCTGAATAAGGATAATTGTTCGTTAATTTGCCCAACAGCTTTTGTTCTTGTTGGTATAAAGAGTTTACGTAATTGTTCAATATCTTGTTGTTGAGTAGAGGTTGAAGGGGTTGAAGACATTTTTATTAAAATCTTGTCAATAGCCTAAATATTAAAAAATTTTAAATTAAAATTCCAGAGGAAAAAGTGAGAGAAATAAAGTGAAAACAATTTTTCCGGAGCTCCGGAAGTGTTTATTTAAATTAAAACAAAACATGTTTGTTTGCAAAATGAACATGTTCGTTTGAAACAAAACATGTTTGTTTGTAAAACAACCATGTTTGTTTGAAACAAAACATGTTTATTTGTAAGGCAAAAATGTTTGTTTGAAAACAAACATGTTTTTGCCCTAACATTTTGTAATTTAATTGTTCAAATTGTAAGATTCCGGAATTTTCCGGAATGAGTTTGTTGGAGAGTTTATTGGAGTGAATTTGGTAATGTTTTCCGGAATGTTTTTAAGAGAGTTTGTTAGAGTGAATTTGGAAATGTTTTCCGGAATGTTTGTTTAAATTAAAATAAAACATGTTTGTTTGCAAAATAAACATGTTTTTACAATTTCAAACATCTTAAATTACCTGAATATCATGTTGGGATATGTTAGGCAATTGCAGAGGGGCACCAGGAATAAGAAAAGTAGAGAATAATTCATAAGCAAATCTACGCATATCTTTAACATTGGAAGAAGGAAAGACATCGGTAATAAGGTAAAAAAGCTGAAAAAATTAATTTAAAATTTTTAAAAATTCTTACAAGGCTGCTAGGATTTGCATTATTTAACAAATAAGTAAAGAAAACTGTCAAATGAGCAGGTCTGGTCTTTAAATCTTGTAAATTTGTAAAAGGACCAGCTGTTTCCTGAAATATTAAAATAATTCTGATATTTATTCTGATAATGTTTAAATTTTATTTTATGTTGTTTTAATGTTTTTCTGATTTTATTCTGATTTTTAAATGTTTTTCTGATTTTATTCTGATTTTTAAATGTTTTTCTGATTTTATTCTGATTTTTAAATGTTTTTCTGATTTTATTCTGATTTTTAAATGTTTTTCTGATTTTATTCTGATTTTTAAATGTTTTTCTGATTTTAATTTATTTTATTCTATTAATAAATGTTTTAATTATGTTTTACTCTTATTCTTATATCCTCATAAAATCAAAACATCAACTAACCATATCTTCATTATCACCCTCACTTCCCTCCCCTCCATCTTCTTCTTCTTCCTCCTCCTCATCCCCAATGGGCAGAACATCTGCCTGAACATAATGCATTCCCCCAGTCTCTATCCAACTACGAATAGGTTCTACCCTCCCTACAGCAGCATCAGCTGCACGTAAAGGCACAGAACTGTTATTTGTTGTTCTCATCGATGTTGGAGGGAAAGTTTTGCTGCTCTAGAAAATGGGAGAATCAAAAAATAATTTTTTCAGTGTTTTTTAATTTCTATGAAAAAATATTTCTCATTCATTAAATTTATTTAAAAAAATTAATTTTACAATTTTCCCAGTTCGCATTTTAAAAATAAGAAAAACAATAGAATAAATAATAAAATTAATTTTTCGTTTTACTTAATATACAAAAATTAATTTTTGAAAAATTAAATAATTTAATTTTTATTTTAAAATTTGGTTAAAAATTTAAAAAAGAGGGAGTGACATAAAAGAAAGAAGATTCTCCCTTCATTCAAACGTTCATTTAAAAACAGACTAAAAATGTTTCCGGAAGAGAGTCTCTAGAAAGACTCTTTCAACTATATCTTTTCTTTTGTTAGTAGCAAAACAATGTTTTTTACAACTTTGAATGTTTTCCGGAAAATGTTTTATTTTTAAACAAATTCAAAAAATAAAAAAGAGGAAGAAGGTTTAATGCCCAAGACTAAATAAAAAAATTTTTCTATTTTCAGTTAAAATCTTTTTTCCCCTCAAAAGTCGCCCAATGGCCAGCTAAAAATTTTTTGGCAGACAAAATGCCAATTATCGGGGTATATAAATAAAGTTAAGGAAAAGCAAAAAATGGAGATAAATATATTTATGTTGTTATTGACTTAAAAATTTATTTAAAAAATAAAGCTCGGGCTTTTTACAAATATAGTAATATTAAAAAAGGAAAGGATTTTTTGTTGTTTACATCAAAATCTAGCTGAATAAGAGTCTTTAAAAACATTAAAAATAAAATTATATTTAATGTTTTTGGCATGGAAACAGTTTTGATTTTTGAGTGTTTTTGGTTTTTGAGAATCATGTAAAACTCAAAAACATTCCGGAAAACATTGAAGATTGTAAAAACATTTTTCGTAAAACATTCAATATTGTAAAACATATGACGAAAAATCTTTAAAATTAAAAAACATTTTCCGGAAAACATCGGAAATTGTAAAAACATTTTCCGGAAAACATTTAAAATTGTAAAAACATTTTCCGGAAAACATTTTACGGAAAACATTGGAAATTGTAAAAACATTTTACGGAAAACATTTAAAATTGTAAAAACATTTTCCGGAAAACATTTAAAATTGTAAAAACATTTTCCGGAAAACATTTTACGGAAAACATTGGAAATTGTAAAAACATTTTACGGAAAACATTTAAAATTGTAAAAACATTTTCCGGAAAACATTTAAAATTGTAAAAACATTTTACGGAAAACATTAAAAATTGTAAAAACATTTTCTGGAAAACATTAAAAATTGTAAAAACATTTTCCGGAAAACATGAAAAATTGTAAAAACATTTTACGGAAAACATTAGAAATTGTAAAAATATTTTCCGGAAAACATTTAAAATTGTAAAAACATTTTACGGAAAACATTAGAAATTGTAAAAATATTTTCCGGAAAACATTTAAAATTGTAAAAACATTTTCCGGAAAACATGAAAAATTGTAAAAACATTTTACGGAAAACATTAAAAATTGTAAAAACATTTTCCGGAAAACATTTAAAATTGTAAAAACATTTTACGGAAAACATTAGAAATTGTAAAAATATTTTCCGGAAAACATTTAAAATTGTAAAAACATTTTCGGAAAACAATAAAAATTGTAAAAACATTTTCCGGAAAACATTTAAAATTGTAAAAACATTTTACGGAAAACATTGGAAATTGTAAAAACAAATTCAGGAAAACATTGAACATTGTAAAAACATTTTCCGGAAAACATTTAAATTGTAAAAACATTTTCCGGAAAACAATGAAAATTGTAAAAACATTTTCCGGAAAACATTGAAAATTGTAAAAACAACTAATAAAAACACGTAAAAACAACTAAATAAAAATGTTTCCAAAAATTCTTCTCAAACATGTTTTTCTCTCTTTTGTTAGTGAAAAACTATTTTTAAATTTCCATTGTTTTCCGGAAAGTTTTTTTGTTTTGATTATTATTTCTAATCAAAACAATGAAAATAAATAGAACAAAAAATATAATCAATTTAGAATCAATTAACTTAAACTCATTTAATAGTTTTTTCTACATTTGCGCAATTAAAACTAAATAAATCGCAATCGAGAGAAGTGCATTTTGAGAGAGATCAAAGGAGCGTAAAATTTATAATAAATGATATATAAATTTTTATTTTTTATTATTCTTTATTTCTCACGTTAATTAACGTGAATATGTTGTGGGGTTTATGTTGGGTGGTTTGTTCTAATTTCTATATTTTTTGGTTTATTAAAAATTATCGTGTTTTTGACGTTTTGAACCAAATACACTTAGATCTAACTTCAAGATACATTCAATAATGGATTTTAACTAGAGACAGGAACGAGACTAGAGATCGAGACTAGATCGAACAATAATCTCGATTATTGAGAATCTAGATTTTTCGTGGCAACGATTTTCGTACAACCCTTACAGCCCGCTCTCTACTGTATATATCCCGATTTAATATACGTTCTTAAAAATATGGATGGTTTATTACTAGGTAGCGAGTAATATACAAAAGAACCTCAATTATAGTGAGATCTACCTATATTACAGTATTTAAAAAATTTTTGGCGTTCTGTTTATTTTTTTAAATTTTGGCGTTTTAACGATTTTTAAACTGTTCTTGTATATCTGCCAGATTTTATGTGTTTTATAACAATTTTTCTTGTATTTTAGACTAAAAAATTTTTTCTTCTAAAAAATCTACATTCCAATAAACCTTTTTCTTCTTTTTTCTTTATTTCGGCATTAATTTACGGCCAAAATTCCCCGCATTGGTTTAATTTCTTTTTTTATTATTTTCTTTATTACAATGAAATGCTTCCTTCCTTTTTTTGTTAATTTAATGTAGAAAAGCATAGGAAAAAAGGAAGAAAATTGCCACGAAAAAAAAAGAATTGCGTGATGGATTAAACAAATAAACAATGAAAGGAAGATGGGCATTTTTAATTTATATAAAATTGTTGCAATTTTAAGAAAAATATTTTTTTGGGGGGTTGAGTCTATAAATTTAACCTAGTGCTAGTGATGTTATAGATCCGTAAATCGAACGGTTTAGAGGTTCCGGTTTTGGGTAGTTCCAAAATTTTACAATGTTCCTCGGTCTTTGAACAGGGACATAGCTGCCCAGAGCCTTAATAGTCACAGGAATTGATCTTGTAACCGTCTAGTGTTTGAAACTGACAGGAGTCTATAGACTTAGACGTGCCAGCGATCTACAGGATAAAGCAGGGAAAGAATAACCGAGGAATGGTTCGATTTTTGGGACAGAAAAAGCACTGATTGAGGCATATCGAAGGTGTTTAGACTCGATTAAAAATAGTTAGAGTCAAATTGAAAGGTTTTGAATGCGTGCCCAAAGTTTTGATATAAACGGGAACTGAATTATGAATGACAAAAATATTTTTTTCATTACTAAATAATTTTTAAATTTAAATAATTTTATAGGTTTTAAATTATTTTCCAACCTGTTTCTCAGTCTCATTACTCTCAATAGAGCCTCGTTTTTTGTCATTCCTATTTATAGGCCGTTTTTTGCCGTTTGTGACTGCTACAAAAAATTTTTTGAACTTGATTAGTACAAATTTAGTCCAGAATATTATTTAATTTTAATTAATTAGTCTTCAAACTTGATTAAAATTTCTTAAATTAATTAATTACCATTAAGCAGGGAAAGAATATTCAGTTGCTTCTCCAGCTCGTTAATTCTGCAGAGGGCTCTTTCTAATTTTGAACCCCCACCAAATTCGATTTGCTGCTGTGATTGTTGGTTTAAGTCTGCAATTCCAGCACAGACTTGTAGAGACTAAAAAATCAAAAAAAAATCTGAGAAAAATTTTATTAAGAAAAAAATTTTCAAAGAAAGGAGGAAAGGTCTGAGGAAACGTCGGAACACTTCTAAGCAAACAATCATAACTAATCGTAAAATAAATTTTTTTAGACTAAATTTGGTATCATTTTAAAGAGAATTAAATTTTCTACAAGATAAAATTAAATTCATATTTAAAGAGCAAAAATTGAATTTTTCAGAGAATTTTTAATAAAATTATTAAGCAAAAAGTGCCAACTTAAAGGAGTATTTCAGCCATAACTTTTTAACCTAGCAATATAAAATATTTAAATAAATATTATTTTGTAGGAAATTTAATTCTCTATCGAATGATATCAAATTTGTTTAAAAAAGTTTAGCCATTCAAAAGTTAGAGAATTTAGCGCAAAGTTGGTTCGCCTTGTTTTTCTCGCCTTTGCTGCCCCTCGAAACTTGTGCAAAAGCTTATTAAAATAAAATAAACTTTTTTCTGCAACCCAAAAAGACCTTTTAAAAATCCCATTGACTTTTTTCTTTGATTTGCATTATAAGATGGATTTATATTTTTATTTAAAAACAATATAATATTTCGTATCCCCTCAAAATCTCTATTCCTTAAAATCTCTACTGGGCTAAAATGCCTTATAATCTCTACACAGCTAAAATGCATTAAAATCTCTACTCGGCTAAAAATTATTAAAATAACTATTCCTTAAAATCTCTATTCCTCATAATCTCTACACGGGTAAAACGCCTTAAAATCTCTACACGGCCAAAAATAGGATAAAATGTCTATTTTTTCATTCGGAAGCCTTTTGAGTGCCAACGTTCAGTGCGGAAACGTTGTTCTGATTTCTGGCTTATCTTTTGATATTATTTTGCTTGTATTGTTTTTGCCGCTGCGGATGAACCCAGGCATGTCCAGCGGAACGACAGCAGCCGCTTCGATACGATCACCGCAAGCAAAATGAACACGTTCGCAGCGAAGCAGTCGTGTATTATATCTTCGATATTTACGGCGGATACAAGCAGATATCCGCAGCCATTTTTAAATCAATTGTATCCGTATCCATTACCAAGTCTGGGTTTTCTAATGAAAAGTTCATATTTTACACTTTTGTTGAGACTCTACCATCCATTTGCACGGTGTAGAGATTTTAATTATTTTTACCCCAGTAGAGATTTTAAGGAATAGTTATTTTAAGGAATAGAGATTTTAAGGAATAGAGATTTTGTATGGGAGCCTAATATTTTGTCATTCTTTTGGGAATTTAACCAAAAAAGCAAAGCAAAAAAGAAATTGAACTTTAAAGAAGAATAAAAAAGGAAAAATCCCACGGGAGAAATGTGTCCAACAAGAAAATATTTTTTGCTTGATTTTAAATGGTAAAAAATTAGAAAAAAATTTGGAGGAAAACACAATAAATAAATGGTAAAATTAAACCAGGTAGCATTAAAATTCAGAATTATTTGTGTTTTTATTTTTTTGTTAAATCAGAATTTTTTCAGAATTTTTTTTCAGAAATTTTTTTCAGAATTTATTTTCAGAATTTTTTTTCAGAATTTTTCTGAAATTTCTTCAGAATTTTTTTTTTCAGAATTTTTTTCTCGAAATTATACAAGTCAGAATTTTATCCCTTTTAGGTATTTATAATTTTCACCTCAAGATTAGCCCTTTCTTTGTTTAACATTCGAAAAAGTTCGTCTCTCCGTTCTCTTTGCCATTCCAGACTTAACATCATTTGTTCCGGATTAGGTGTTTGTTGTATTAATATTCCATTGTTATTGTTGTTATTATTATTTATTTCCTTTGGTTTTTGAATTGCCGGAAACAATTCATCATCCCAGGAGGAAACACTGTGGGTACGTGCTGGCCCCAAAAGTGTTAATACTAAATTGTAGCCGCCTAGAGAAATATTATGTGTGTTTATTAGAAATCAGAATTTTGTATTTTTTTATCAGAATTATTTGTATTTTCATTTGTGTAAAATCAGAATTTTGTATTTTTTAATCAGAATTATTTGTATATTCTTTTGTGTAGAATCAGAATTTGTATTTTTATTTAAAATCAGAATTTTGTATTCCTTATCAGAATTATTTGTATTTTCATTGTGTGTAAAATCAGAATTTATATTTCTGTTCAAAATCAGAATTTTTCAGAATTTTTTATTTCTGTTCAGAAATGTATTTTTAATCAGAATTTTGTATTTTTTATCAGAATTATTTATGATTCATTTTGTGTAAAACCAGAATTAGCTATTCATTCTCGTTTGTGTTTCATGTGTTTCAGAATTTGTATTTTCAATTTTAAATAAATCAGAATTTCAAAAAATATAAAAAACGACAAAATGTCTCAATCCAAATAGTGCGACAAAATGTCACAATTAAAGAATCTTTTGGCATGGAAGTTTCGGAAAAATTTTTTCCTTATTTAGGTATTTTATTTAAAATTAATGAATTACCAGATATCATTTTGATAACTTCTTGAAAGTTAGAACAACTGACAAGCATTCCGTTAACCTTCAATATTCTGTCACCCTCACGGACACCTGCCAATTGTGCAGCTCCATAAGGCTTTAGTGTAGCTACAGTAAGGGGGTGTTCTCCACTTACTGTTAGGCCAAAACCGTCAGATTGCCTAGAGGAAAATTTTTTTTGGACATTTAGGGAGATTAAAGAATTTATTCACCTAGCCACTACAACGCATCTTTCACTCAGTGTTGCCTGAGATGAATCTGAAAGACTAAATTTACGTCTAAGCCCGTCCGTAGCTATCCTTCTTTCAATAATTGGAGTTGGGGAATTTGTATTTTTATTAATTTGATTATCCACAGCTGAAACAGGACGAGATGAGGAATTCTCTGTATTTTGTTGTATTGCTGCCATTTTTGTGAGGGAAGGGCTAACAGCGTTAGAAGACGCGATTTGCCGAGAGAAGTTGCTTGGGTTTTGTGTTTGTTCTGAAAAATTAAAAAAATCTATTCTTTGATATTCTGGTATTTGTATTTTTGATATTCTGATATTTTAAACTTTTCAAATCAGAATTATAAGAAATAAAATAACAAAATTCTGATTCTTCAGAAAAATAAATATACAAAATTCTGATTTTAAAAATACAAATTCTGATTATATAAATACATATAAAATTCTGATTCACTATAGAAATTAAATTCTGATTTCATAAAATACAAAATTCTGATTTAATGTAAAAATACAAAGTTCTGATTTCATAAAATAACAAAATTCTGATTTTATAAAAAATTCTGTTTTAAAAATAATTCTGATTTAATTTAAGAAGTAAATTCTGATTTATAAAAATTAAATTCTGATTCTATGAAAAATACAGAATTCTGATTTATTAGGAAAATACATAGGTAGGTAGTTCTGATTTAACAGAATATTAAATTCTGATTAGATGAAAAAATACAAAATTCTGATTTATCAGGAAAATACATAGTTCTGATTTATAGAAATTAAATTCTGAGTTATTCTCTTCTTATTATTTTGATACTTTTTTAGTATCAGAATTTAATAATTCTGACGTAACAATTAATTGGAAATATTCTGGTTACATTTTCTGATTTTAATTTCTGGTATTTTCCAAATAGTAGAATTTACATTTAAATTAAAATGCAACATTATTTATAGGGTTGCCAAAATGGACCGACTCGGACCGAAAGATCGAGTCATGCCTCGATGTTTGGCCCGAAAAAGTCTCGTACCGGCCCGACTCGATAAAGTTGGGCCCGAAAAAGACTCGTAACGGCCCGACTCGATAAAGTTAGGCCCGAAAGTGACTCGTACCGGCCCGACTCGATAAAAACAGGCCCGAAAAAAATTGTCTCGGAAAAAGTCGGCCCGACTCGAACAAGACTCGATAATATTTTTACCAGATTTGTGGACAAAAATGGGAGAAATCTGGCTCCTTGGCCTTCCAAAATTCGAAAAATTTTCGCCTGCGGCGCTGAAAAAGGAAGAAATTTGGTCCTTAGCCTTCCGAATATCTCAAAATTTTTGCCTGCGGCGCTGAATGAAGGATTTTTAGCTCCATACTTTGTTTCACATCTCGAACTTACAGGCTTTAATCGATAAGCTGGATTACTGGGATTTATAGGATATATTCCGCGGGATCCCATATTCATTTTACTTTTAAAACTAAATCAGTTTTGAGTCCACAATTTTCCGCAGTCCGCAATTTTAACTTTAAAATACGCAGTCGTAATCTTCAGTCCACAAGTCAAAAACACACAATCTTACGCAATCCGCAGTCCACCATCCGGGATATAAGGTTTAATCTGGGAATATAAGGCAGTTTGAGTGACTAAGTCAAGGGCGTATCCAGGGGGTCCAAAATTCTCAAAGTTTTCGCCTGCGGCGCTAAAAATGGAAGAAATCTGGTTTCATGACTTTCCAGTAAGCCCTTATCTAAATACGAAATGTTCAATCATGGTACACTGGGATTTTATTAAGGGATTTGGTGATTAACGCACGATATCACTTAAATCTTGCGTTATCCTTCAAATCTCCGATATCCATTCAAATCTCTTCAATCCTTTTAAATCCCATTACAATATAGCACCTTAATTATCTGATATGCGATCCTGATCCCCTTAATCATCTGATCTCCTTTAATAAAACCAAATCTAGCAATATCTCACACCAATCCTCGATAATTTAAATCACCTTAATCCCTCAAATCCACTGATATCCATTTCAATTCTCTTCAGCCCTTCCTTTACCTTCCAGATCCATCGATATACTTTTTAATTCACAGATATCCCTCCAAATCCACTAATTATTTTTAAATAAATCTTTTAAAAAAAGACTCGAAAATGTCTCGATGCCCGACTCGATAAAGTCAGGCCCGAAAGTGACTCGTTCCGGCCCGACTCGATAAAGTTAGGCCCGAAAAAGACTCGTATCGGCCCGACTCGATAAAGTAAGGCCCGAAAAAGACTCGTACCGGCCCGACTCGATAAAAACAAGCCCGAAAAAAAATGCCTCGACCGTCGGCCCGACTCGAAAACGGCAACCCTAATTATTTATTTAAATCTACGCATATTCTATAAAATATTAAAATTAAAAAAGCAACTTTTTCTGAAAAATTTTTTTAATTTAAAGAGGAAAAAGAGAGAATATTTTATAAGAGAATATTTTTATTCTCTTCAAATTTTTAATTTTTTTTCTTTTTTTTTTCTTCCGCAACTCAAAAATCAAACAAAAAAATTAAAAAAAGAGGGGGGTTTCTCTTTGATGAATTAGATTTTTGGCATTTTATATTTTATTTTCTGTGTTTTTTCTGTATTTTCTGTTTGTTTTTGTGTATGTTTGTGTTTTTATTTCGTGTGACCATTTGATGGGAGAGTGGGGAGATAGGGGGAAAATGGAGGGGGAGGAAGAAAGGAAGGGGGAGGGAGGGGGGGAAGGGAGAAGAGGAGGGAGGAAGAAAGGAAGGGGGGAGGAGGAAGGGAGAGGAGGGATAAGGGGAGAATGGAGGGGGAAGAGGGGGAGGAGAAGGGATGAAGGGAGAGAAGGGAGGAGGGGAAGGAAGAGGAGAAACGAGAGGGGTGGATTTAAAAATTGCCGGTCTCTTTAGGGAATCTATACCCAAATCTCTCCCTTTTTCTCCTTTTTTAGAGTGCGAAAAAATTGCTAAATGAAAAAAAAGTATAGGTAAGTAAACAAAAGAAAAAATAAAAGAAAAATTTTTTTTAAATAATCTCTTTGAAATTTTTGAAATATAAGGGCAGTGATTGACAATTTAATTCCCTCCCACTTTATTTTTAAAATTAATTTTGAACGTTAATTTAAAATAATGAATAAAGTCAAATCTCAATTTGAACACCCTGTGACAATTCAAATTTTTTTTAAAAATGTTTATTTAATTGAAGTATATCCAGGGTTATTTATAACGAGATCCAACTGATAATAAATTAAAAATAATTTTTTGAACATTCGAACTTGGAGAAAAAAATTTTTTAGATTGAATAGCGTGACTCATTTAATTAATTTTAAACAAAAAGAAAGAAGCATTTTCAATTAAATACTTCCGGAAATCCCCTATTTATGCTTTTAATGACAATTAAGAAAAAAAGATGAGAAAAAATGAATAAAAATAAAATAAATTCGGATTTATTAAAAATAAAGATAAAATTCTAATTAGGCAAATAAATATTCTGATTTTATAAAATATTCTGATTTAAAATAAAAATATTCTGATTTTATAAAATATTCTGATTTAAAATAAAAATATTCTGATTTTGCAAAAATACACTAAAACACAAAATAACCAAAAAATTCTGATTCTTTCCAAAACGTTCTGATTAAATGAGAATAAATATTCTGATTTTTTAAAAAAATAAAAATACAATTCTGATAAATACAAAAAAGAAAAACACAAAATATAAAACAAAGAAAATTATTCTTAATAAATCAGAATTTTTTTTTCATATTTTTTGGCCTTGGAAGGAAAATAACTGATTTGATGCATGTGAAAAAATAAACATTTTTCTTATTTAATTGGAAGATAAATAAATAAATCTCTCCACTCATCCATAAATGTCTGCAATTTTATTGAAGATAAATAAAAAATAAAAATACAAAAATGCGTGAAAAATAATATTTTTACGTAAATATAACAAAAGAATGTGACATAAAATTTTATTGTTATGATAAATAAATAATTTTTTTTATTGAGAGAAAAAAGTGAAAATAACAATAAAAGTGAGAGAAATAAGGAGATGAATCATGCTCAATTTAATATTCTTAAAATTCTGATTTTTGTATTTTCTGATTATTTTTGAAGGAAACACACAGTTAAAGAACTACATTTATTTTTAAAAAATTCTGAAAATTAAAATCAGAATTTTCTTTTAACTATTAGGAAAATAAAACAGAATAACGAGATTATAAGTGTTTTCTGTGTTTTTCTAGAATCAGAATTAAATCAGAATTTAAAAATATTATTCAGAATATTTTCGTGTTTTTCCTTTAATCTGAATAAAATCAGAATTTTCTTTATTACTTGAAAATAAAACCAGAAAATAAAACCAGAATCGTTTAATTCTGATATTTATTAAATAATAAAAAAAATTCTGAAAATTTATTCTGATTTAAGAAGAAACATATTTATAAAATAATTCTGATTTTATTTTCTCAATAAATAAGAGAAAATTCTGATAATTTATTCTGATTTGAGAAAAAACACAAAAAAACACATTTAGGTAATATACTTAATTTCTGAATAAAAATAATTCTGATTTTATTCTGATTTGAAGAAAAACACAAATAATAAAATTCTGATTTCAATTTCTAAATAAACAAAAGAAAATTCTGATTTTTATTCTGATTTAATAAAACACAAAAAAACACATTTAATAAAAGGCTTCTGATTTTATTGTTCAAATAATCGAAGGAAATTCTGATTTTTATTTTCAGAATTTTTTAAAAATAAATTCAATTTATTTAATTTAAAAAATAACATTTAAAAAACGATGTTTGATTTTTCGCTACTTGTTTGCTTTTTAATTTTCTGCTTCATTTGCATTTATCCATGCAAAAATGCGACCAAAAATATGAGTGGAGATGAGTTTTTTTGGTTGTTGTTTTTACTCATAAAATACTTAATAATAAATGCATATATCAAAAAATATTTAGGGGAACACTACTAAAATTTTGAAAAAAATATTTTTTGGTAAATTTTGTTTTTAAAATTAATTTCTAGTTTTTACATTTTTAAATTTATTTTTATGTCTTGTTTAAAAAATTAAAATAAATAAATTCCGCCCCCTAAATTAATTTAAATATATTTAAATTAATTCTGATTTAGAAAGGAAAAATACAAAATCAGAAATAGAGTAATTCTGATTTGAATAAATCACATAAAATACGTTTAAAAGAAAATAAATTCTGATTCTGATTAGAATAAAATACAATATCAGAAATACAAATTCTGATTTGTTAAAAGAAAATGAATTCTGATTTAAAAAGAAAAAACAAACAGAATTAAAATTAATTCTGATTATTAATTCAGATTTTATTAATTCTGAAAATTAATATTAATTCTGAAATACAAATAAAATACAATGAAATAAAAAGAAATTCTGATTTAAGAGAAAATACAAAATCAGAAATACTAATTCTGATTTTTTAAAATAAAAGAAATTCTGATTTAAAAAGTAAAATACAGAATCAGAATAAGTAATTTATAATTATGATTTGTAAATTCTGATAAAACACATTTTTAAAATAATTCCGATTTAAGAGAAAATACAAAAAACACAAATAAAATAATTCTGATATTTAAAATTGTGTTTTTGACTCAAATAAAAAATACAAAATTAAAAGCAAATAAAAATTGAATAAATTCAAGATTAGAAGGCAGAATTAAATAAATTGAGGGATGCGAGTGGCAATAAAATTTTGACCCAGATTTTAAAATTTTTTTTCAATTCAACGCTTGATTCAACAAGCAAATAAAATAAATAAATAATAAAAGTGTTGGGAGGAGATGCGGGAGATTTTTAGAGACCGATAAATATATTTTTTTGGAAGCACTTTCTCTTAAAAATATTAAAATTGAACTTTTAGAAAATAGATAAAAATCAGAAAAATCAAAAAGAATTTTGGTTGGCGAGGGAAAAAGTGAAAAGTAGAATAATCTCTTAAAATTCTGATTTTATTAATAGATAAAAATTAATTAATTTTTCTGAAATTAATTAAAAGAAAATACAAATAATTCTGATTTAGAAAATATTATAGAAATAGAAAGGAAAATTGTAATTAATCAGAATTAAATAATTCTGATTTAGTAAAACACAAATAATTCTGATTTTATATAAGTGAAATACAACCACATCAGAATAAGTATTAACCATAATTAAATAATTCTGATTTAGTAAAACACAAATAATTCTGATTTTATAAACAAAAATACAATTGCATATTTTATAAAAATCAGAATAATTATCAGAATTAATTAATTCTGATTTTTCAGAAGAGCAAAATACAAATGTATTTTATTTTTCAAAATGCGAATTAATTTGTATTTTTTCAATCAGAATTAACTGTTTGAATTAATCAGAATGAATCAGAATTTTTTGTATTTTTATCAGAATTCTGATTTTTCTCAATAAAACTAATTTTATATTTTATTTAAATAATTAATAGTAAAACAAATTTTGAAATCAGAATCGATTAAATAAATGAATGTTGTGACTGGCCTTACCCAAAAGCATGTGAAGACGAATAAAAAGGGAAAAATATGTTGAGACGAAAAAAATTAATGAAGAAAAATTTTTGCGAAGAAAAATCTGTGAAAATAAAAAAATCTGCGTTGTTTTTTTTTATTTTTTTTTCTTATGGCCAAAAACTGCTTATTTTCTCTTCTCTAATTTTTAAAAAAATAAAATAAATTTTACTCAGGTGTAAAATTTATTTTAATTAATGTTGTTTATTTATTTTTATTATTTTAGTTATTTAAAAAACAAAAAATATGCCTACAATTTAAATAGGGGGATCACCCCAGAATATCGACACCCAAAATATCGTTTGACCCAAAATATCGACACCCAAAATGACGAATTACCCAAAATATCGAATTTTTTAAATTTCATAATTATGTATTCCAATGATAGGGAATGATGTTCTAACATCGAGGAATTGTGTTTTCGATCGAAGTGACCATAGCGACCGAACAAGATTCTACTTGGAGATCGATCACTCTTCTTTGATTGGACATATTGATCATGATCGATGTTTGTCCATTGTTGGAACAATTTCCCTATGTTAAAAAGACTTCCCCGTCCTTGGAATACTTAATTATGAAGTTAAAAAAATTTCGATATTTTGGGTAATTCGTCATTTTGGGTGTCGATATTTAGGGTGTCGATATTCTGGGGTGGAGTCTTTAAATAGGCTAATGAGGTCAATTGAAAAATAAATAAAAATAATTAAAAGAAAAATAAAAAAATTCTGATATTATTAATTTTCTGAAATAAAATTCTGAAGTAAAATTCTGAAAAAATATTTTTTAGGCTAGTCAATAATTAATTCTGACAAAATTCTGATTTCTAATAATTCTGATAATTAATTTTGAATTCTGACAAAATTCTGATTTTTGAATTTTATCAAATTATAAGATTGTCTTCTTCTAGTTTATAATGTCAGAAACATTTTTTTAAATCAGAATTTTAAATCAGAATTTTTATTTAAAGCAGAATTTCTATTTAAAATCAGAATTAATTTATATACATAATTCACAGGGGGGAGGGCAATTTACTTTTGGAAAATTTTCCCTTCATACTTAAAAATTTTTTTCCATAGCCTTCTTTATTTTTGGGTATTTTTGTAGACCTATTAATTACCTATTAAATGGTTATAAACTTGGTTAAGGGAAAGTTTTTATCTACCCAGGAAAATTAATTATAGCTACCTCATCCACAAATTTCGTGGACTATTATTATTAAATACTAGTTTTTATTTTCAAAAAATATCATTTTCACACAATTTTTTTGTAAATTCAATATTGTCCCATATTAAACAATAAAAAAAATTAAAAATAAAAATTAAATAAGCTACCTTAACTAAATATTAATTTTAACCAAAACAATAACGGAGGTAGCGAGGGAGAGTAGAAGCTTGTTTTCCCCCATTACATATTTAATGTTAGAGTTCGCAAGGGTAAAGCGAAAAAAATAAAAAGAAGCAAGGGATCCATCCAAAAATTAATCTATAAAATTATTCCCCTCGCTAAAATATTTTTTATTTGTACAATAAATGCAAATAAAAATACTAGACTGTACAAAAAAATTATTTTTTTTGGGGGGGGGGGGGGGGAAGGGGGTTCTAGCTAAATAAAAATAATATTGACTTTATTTTATTTATTTTTAAGGGAAATTCAAAGAAAAAATTTTTTCTGGGCCATAAAGACAATTTAAAACTAAAAAATTAACAATTAAGTAAATTGCTTGAATAAGGCTAATAAAATTTGGAAAAAATATGTGTAGGTACTAGCTTGAATTAATTCAATTTTAAATTTATTTAGAGGGGAGAATGAGGGGGAGTTGAAGGGGATATTTTAAAAATAAGGAAAATAAGGGAAAATAAATTTTGAAAATTTAAAAAATGTAATTTAGTACACTGTCAAAATTATTTTTTAGTCCAATCACACTTTTTAAATCTGATAGGTCGCTAACTTGGGGAAATTCAGAAGGGACAACTTCACTTTAGTGTAAAGCCCTTTAAGTGTAGTCCGACTGTATGTATACCGTTATACTCTATCAATTACCCTGGGTAATTATTATTTAAACCTCTGCTGGAGGAGGGAATTGATAGAGGCGGGGTAATTAATAATTATTTTAAGAAGGCTAATTATAACTATTTTACGTGAGTTCGCTGGTGGTGGTAACTAATAGAGCTGGGGTAATTATTTGAGGGAGGGTAACTAATAGAGTATATACGGTAGGTCCACAAATTGTTATTTTCCTGTTATCTGACCCCATATTAAAAATGTTTTTAACGAAATATCCTCCCATATCTCGGCCCAAGCCTGTTCAATCACGGTGATTTTGGTGTCATCCCAGCTCGACGAGCTCTTTTGAATAACATATATCTGTCCATATTCATGACAGTTTTTTATGTTGGTTGGGGTCAAATAATGAGAAATAGATAAAAAAAAATAGAAATAGAAATTTTTCGGAATTTTTGAAAAGCCTGGACCTGTTCTAGGGTTCCGGGTTTGATTTATTCACTTGGGCTGAATCATGGGCCTGTAGTCCATCAGAAACCCAGGCCTTGGTCCAGCCGATATCTAATAGGAAAGTACACAAACATTTAACCCTTATGGCGTCAAGAGAGTTTTTGTGGTCGAGAGAAAAACATTAAATAAAATTGCGATTCCCCATGCTTAAAAATATTTTTAAACAATTGTTTGTACTTGTCAAAATAAATGTTAAAATACATACAATGGCTTTAACTAAATATTTTTAGTTAATCCAAATTCCTCCGATATTTGACTTTAAAAGAATTATGAAGGAGGGAAGAACAGTAAATATATTTACAAACAATAAAAGACAAGGCTTTATCCGCGTGTTTAAAATAAAATGTTTTTAAAATGTAAAATGTTAAATAAACATATATCTAAACAAAGTCTACTAAATTTAAAATTTTGTTAGTATGTAGCAGGGGTGTAGCTAGAGATCGGAGCGGGTCTAAGACCAGGACCCGTTTCCCGGTTTTCGGGTCCCCTTTCCGGGATGAAACAGGGAACGAGAATTACCGGTTTTCCCGGTCCGGGTCCCTCCCGGTCAACTTTCAGAACCAGTTTCCCGGTTCCCGGACCCGGTTTACTCAAAATTCCGATCTCTAGGTGTAACAAGGGTGTCCCTTTCCGAATCAACCAAAAGAAGCCCACATCAAAAAATAAGCAAAAAAGTGGCATTGCAAAAAGGGACGAGAAGGTTAAAAAAGGGAAAAATGCCCCTAAAAAGAGGTAAAAAAAGACAAAAAAATTTTTTCCCCTAAAAAAAGACACCCTGGGGGTAACGAAAATAATTTTAAAAGGCGAAAGGCTAAAATGCGAAAGTCAATTTAGAAATGCGAATAAAAAGCGAACGATGTCCAAAAAAGTCGAAAATCTGCGAAAAGCTGTCATGTCCGAAAGTTGCCGAGATTTGCCGACGTAACAAGAATAATGCTTATACAATGTAGAGCGAAAGACACCCAAAAAGCGCGGCAAAAGCTAAAAACGAAGGCGAAACTTCCCCAGGTATGCATATAAAATCAGTACAGCCAAAGTAGGCGCGCGGCCATAATGGCGCAAAGCCATAACTTGCTTCAAGATTTCCGAATTTTACCAAATTTATTTTTAAATATTCCTCTCATCGAGCCAGAAAATTTCCAGCAAATTATAGCCTTACGTTATGGCCGCGCGCTTACTTGGGCGTGTCACATAGGAAATAAATCAAAGCAGGAACTTGTGGAGTTGCGAATAAATGTTGAATAATGAGGGGGGGGGGTGTATTGGTGTGTAAAAAATTGCGGTGTACCTAACTGACAAGTTCCTTTAAAATCCCTTTTTTGCTTTGAATGTTCTTCCCAACTTTCTTGAGGTATACGTCGATTGAGGGATAAATACATAGCAGCTAATCTCACTCACCTAAAATATCAAGATTAAACAAATAAAATTGGAGATAAAAACCTAAAGGTCAAAAAGTTGTTGAAAGAAGTCATCCGCAGCTGTAGAAGTCCCCTGGTTTGGTTCTTGCCCTGGCAAATGATGTTCTTGTTGCTGCTGAGGATATTGGGTTGGAACATAATCGGAGGGGGCAGAAGGATGCCCTAATGCCTGGTGGGGTGCTGGACCTAGAGATTTTTGTAAAAATTTCCAGAAAAATTTTTTTCAAGAATTATTTCACATTATCATTTACCTAAATTCAATCTAGGTTGTGGATTTGTTGACGTTTCTCCTGTTTCTTGTTGTTGACTTGGTCCAACCACATCCTCTGTAATAATTATTTTGACGTTAATGCGGATATAACCGTGAGGTCAAAATCCGTATCCATTTAAGCATATCCCTCTGGACCTATACTTATTAAAGTGAGAGACATGCTAACAGGAATAAGCGCTATTGAGATTATACCGTAGTTACTTAATCATAACGGCGATTTTATCAAAATTTAAACTGTTATACGCTTAAGTTCCAAATATTAGATTATTCTACGGATCCATAAACCAGTTCCCTTATCTTGGTTACAGGGATAGGTTGCTGGAACGAAAGAGTATTTTGCTTCATTGTAATGTGTTAATTAAAGAATAAAATACATAAAAACTTACCCAAGAGTCCCCTTCTGCCGGCTCTCAATAAGCGTTCAAAATCTTCATCACGAACATAATCAGATTGTATATCCTGTATTTTTTAGAGTGTAGTGAAATTGAATAAATTTTCTATAACTTGGATACTGGTGTAGTTTACGCCCCATAAGCCCCGCCCCCTTTTCAATCTGTCTGTCCTTATAAAGTGATATTTGGGTCAAATTTTCATTAAATTGACTTATGGCCTTTTTCCTCTCATTATAAGAAGGGAAGAGTGAAGAAAAAGAGGCGGGGCTTATGGGACGTAAACTACACAGGTACCTAATATGTCAATAACTGCCCATATTTGTACCGCTCAGAAACGAGAGTTGACTGATTGTTAAGCATATTTCATTTTATTTTTAAACCCCCTCTAGTTTCTACTGTAATGCTCATGAGTAAGAAATGAGTATCCCTTCATATTAGGAAATTCGGCAGTTTTAAATATATTATAAATATTTTTGTATTTACTTTAGGGTTCAATGGTTTATCGCTATCCGACGATTCAACCTCTGTAGTTTCCTGGATCGCTGGTAATTTTCCTCTATCTAAAAATATTTGTAAGTTAGCCCTGAATGATTATATTAATGTCCTCAATACCAAGAGCTGAAGCATTGGGACCAGATGCCCCTATAGATGGATGAGGTTGAATTTGTCTATGACGACGACCTTGTTGACGTCGAGCTTGAGGATTCCCCGAAATACGAATTCCAGTGTGTGGACCAGGACCTTGATGGATAGAGGTTGTTGGTTGTTGTTGATAAGGCTGTTGTCCTTGAGGTTGGTGATAGGGATGTTGCTGTTGATAAGGTTGGTGATAGGGATGTTGTTCTTGAGGCTGTTGATAAAATTGTTGTTGATAAGGATGTTGTTGTTGATAAGGTTGTTGTTGTTGGTAAGGTTGTTGAAAAGGCTGCTGATAGAACTGTTGTTGTTGATAAGGAATTCGATGTACATTTCCACTTAATTTTAAAAGTTTTTCAAAAAAGGTCAACAACTTGAATCGAAATTTTTATTTCGTTTATGTATGCAATTGAAATCATTCAACATTTACAAAACATAAGAAAAAAATATGGGGTTAACAAATCTAGGAGAGTGTATTTAAAAACGCTGGAGTCATCCCATTTTTCGAAAACTTATAAGCGCCATAACTTTTTAGTTTCATATTCCTAGCCAAAAAAGGCAAAAATTTTCTAGAGTAAATCGACGATGCTCTACCAATAGGTACCAAAAAAGTACGAAATTTTGACTAGCAGTTCGTGAGGTTCCCTTGTCAGTGGTAGAACACCTGCATAGGTGTGATGAGTAAGGCCGAGCGAGCATTATCAGAGTTGTAGAAGGTTCCTGAATCGCTTGAATCCTGCCCGATGGCTACCCTTATAGATAAACCTTTAAACTACTCCAAAACTCACGATGTATCAACATGGTATTCATTAAGACGCGGAAAAAGATATTGTCTTAGTAGACTTGTTAAATGTGCTCTAATACGATATTCATAACTGCTTATAGCATTTGTATTACATAGTTGCCAATCATTAGCTTCAAGAAATTGCAGATGATTCAGTGCATGTATTGAGTTCATAGACAGTGGGGGGCCTTTCGAAATCAGAATTAATTTTTATTGTAGAAATATCGGTACTATATCGCCTATATCGCCCACTACTATATCGCCCACATTTCGTTTTTGCTATAAATAGCAAGGGTGTAAAATGGTAAATAATGTTAAAATGTATAGTCAGATTTTTGAAACCTTCGGTTTCTAATTCAGGACTTGATTTTTACATGGACCAAAGTCTTGGACCAAAGTTACATGGACCAAGCTTGGGTTTAAAGCCAAAAATCCCTGAATATTATGATTATCTTCAAATGTCAGGGTAATGCAGATCTATATCAAGGTCCGGCTTTGAATTCTAGAGAACGGTAGTTGATAAGATATATCTGCTGTCATTTTCAATGTGGTGAAGATATCTTTACTTTATTCTTTACCTCATTTTTTACCTCTTCTCTTTACCTCATCAAGAGTAAAGAAAATAAAAATGTGGGCCGATAACTCGATAGTACCAAAATATTATTAATTCCTACCAGCAGGAGCAGGTTGACCACCCTCAGAAGTTGTCTGGATCGGTTGATGTGTCTGTGGTTCTGGTAAAAGCGTAAAAAGGTAGTACATATAGTTAGTCATTGTTTGGTGGAACTCTTGAGGTAATTGTTGTATAATTTGTACCATTTTTTGCTTCAATTCATTTTGTCCTCTTTGATGATCAAAGGGCATAAAGATCTGCTCTTGAGGTGCATTGGGGTGTTGCTGACATTTGGCCTTTTTACCTTTAGGTAATTTGGGTTGTTTAGTTGCTTTCCCTTTTTGTGTTTGACTACGTTGATGCCCTCCTCTCCCAAGACGTAGACCAGTATCTGGCTGCATAGGTGAACGACTTTGTGGTGGTTGTTGTTGATGATCTATATTTAATGGGTTTGTTGAAAGGTCGGTAAATGAGAGATAAGGAGAGATAGTATCTTATCCCCATTCAGCTTGTGAGGGAATTTTATGTTTATATCTCAAGATCCTGATTGTTGTCAATAACATCCCTTAGTGATGCTCGTGAGGGAATAAAACTCGGGAATCGGATACCGGGAGTCGGGATCGGGAGGCCAAAAACTCGGGAAATTTTCCCGAGTCGGCAGTCGGGATACCCGAGCATTACTAACATCCCCATTTCCAAAACAACGAAAAACATTGCATATATAATTAATCTATTGATAAATCAAACGTCTATCCCTCGATCCAACTTCATTTTTAGTCCTTTCAAATTCGTTATATCGAGCCTATACCGCATAATAATTTAAAATCTGGTCTAGTTTAGACATCCAATGAAGGTTTATAAGCCCAATCCGATCCCTCTTTAAAGGTCGAGCCCTCTTACCCTCGACAATAGCAACTGCATTTTGTTCAACAAAGTATTGGTCTATAAAATGATTCACATATTCTTCTGCAGAGTCAACATTATTAAAATAATTTTGTATAACTTTATTTCTATTTTCAATTAAATTACATTCAAATTTTTTTGTTCGACCGTTAAAAACAATTTGATAAAAATTTAATTTTGGACTTGAATGAATTGCTGGTTGACAATTCAACTCTACCTTAATTTTAAATAAATTCGTTATGTGTTAAAAGGGATCGAATGATTACAGGTCCCATTATTTGTTCCAAGGTATTATTTATAATTGAGCATGACACTTCAAATATTGTGATATCACTTATGAACAACGTTAGCAGCAATAATTAGGTTATTGAAAGCAATGCAAAAAGTTGCCGGAAAACTTAACTGTAATATTCGCTAAGGGGGCCGACAGTATATTATTTTCTCAACCAAGGGGCATGGACTTCTCAACCAAAGGACATGGACTTTAGGGCCGAAATTTTTAGGAGAGTAGGCCTCAACCAAAAGCCATGGAATGTCCTTTGATGGAGAGAGACATGGAATGTCCTTTGTTTGGCATTCCGTTTTGGCGTTTTGAACTATTTTTAAGCTAAAAACTTTAGGGCTGTCTCAGCAATGATGGAGAACAATCCTCAAGTCATGATAAAATATATCCATGATTAGGGTTGGTGGCTACTGGGAACTCCACGCATATCCTAAGCCAATATCCGATCCGAAATTTTTCGGAGAGTAGGCCTTTTCAAGATCTGGATATTCAGATGCACCAATCCTTCTTATAATATGTAGCTTAAATAAGTTGTATCGTTTAGGTATCCCCTCCAACCAGTGGGTAAACAACACATTATGGTGTATCTGATCTCAATGAACATTATACCTGAATGCCATCTTCAGATATAACAAACAAATTAGGGTTGCCGTTTTCGAGTCGGGCCGACGGTCGAGGCATTTTTTTTCGGGCTTGTTTTTATCGAGTCGGGCCGGTACGAGTCTTTTTCGGGCCTTACTTTATCGAGTCGGGCCGATACGAGTCTTTTTCGGGCCTAACTTTATCGAGTCGGGCCGGAACGAGTCACTTTCGGGCCTGACTTTATCGAGTCGGGCATCGAGACATTTTCGAGTCTTTTTTTAAAAGATTTATTTAAAAATAATTAGTGGATTTGGAGGGATATCTGTGAATTAAAAAGTATATCGATGGATCTGGAAGGTAAAGGAAGGGCTGAAGAGAATTGAAATGGATATCAGTGGATTTGAGGGATTAAGGTGATTTAAATTATCGAGGATTGGTGTGAGATATTGCTAGATTTGGTTTTATTAAAGGAGATCAGATGATTAAGGGGATCAGGATCGCATATCAGATAATTAAGGTGCTATATTGTAATGGGATTTAAAAGGATTGAAGAGATTTGAATGGATATCGGAGATTTGAAGGATAACGCAAGATTTAAGTGATATCGTGCGTTAATCACCAAATCCCTTAATAAAATCCCAGTGTACCATGATTGAACATTTCGTATTTAGATAAGGGCTTACTGGAAAGTCATGAAACCAGATTTCTTCCATTTTTAGCGCCGCAGGCGAAAACTTTGAGAATTTTGGACCCCCTGGATACGCCCTTGACTTAGTCACTCAAACTGCCTTATATTCCCAGATTAAACCTTATATCCCGGATGGTGGACTGCGGATTGCGTAAGATTGTGTGTTTTTGACTTGTGGACTGAAGATTACGACTGCGTATTTTAAAGTTAAAATTGCGGACTGCGGAAAATTGTGGACTCAAAACTGATTTAGTTTTAAAAGTAAAATGAATATGGGATCCCGCGGAATATATCCTATAAATCCCAGTAATCCAGCTTATCGATTAAAGCCTGTAAGTTCGAGATGTGAAACAAAGTATGGAGCTAAAAATCCTTCATTCAGCGCCGCAGGCAAAAATTTTGAGATATTCGGAAGGCTAAGGACCAAATTTCTTCCTTTTTCAGCGCCGCAGGCGAAAATTTTTCGAATTTTGGAAGGCCAAGGAGCCAGATTTCTCCCATTTTTGTCCACAAATCTGGTAAAAATATTATCGAGTCTTGTTCGAGTCGGGCCGACTTTTTCCGAGACAATTTTTTTCGGGCCTGTTTTTATCGAGTCGGGCCGGTACGAGTCACTTTCGGGCCTAACTTTATCGAGTCGGGCCGTTACGAGTCTTTTTCGGGCCCAACTTTATCGAGTCGGGCCGGTACGAGACTTTTTCGGGCCAAACATCGAGGCATGACTCGATCTTTCGGTCCGAGTCGGTCCATTTTGGCAACCCTAAAACAAATATTCATCATTTGGGCACACTTTACTTCTGACATATTGTGACAGATATACTTTACTTTGTTCATTTGTATTTAAAATCACGACAAAATTTGGGTTAACTTCCTCTTTACACAGAATCACCACATTTTTCTTTTTCTTCGAAACCTTTGGATCTTTCCAATAAAATTGCATAACACGAACAGGACGTTTAAACAATTCTATCATTGAGTCCAATCTATTTGGGTCTTGTTGTTTTGTTAATTTTATAAATTTTGGTTCGCTATCTTTTCGAACAAAGACATAAATTATTGAATTGTTTTCAATCCCGTTTATAGAGCCGAGGTTTAACTGAAAAATAAGAATAAACTAACTTCAATAAAACTCCCTCCTTCCTTGATTAATCCCTCTCAACCTTAATGAAGCCCTCTCCCACTCTCCACATTCAGGACCCCCTCTCTTCCATCAATAGAGCCTCTCACTCTCCACTTTTAATTACATCCTCTCCTCTCTAAATTTAAAGCCTCTCTCTCTCTCTCCACAGTCACTGACAATCCATCCTCTTTAACATTAAGTAACATCTTTCCACGTTCATGACTCCCTCCCCCTCTCCCCAACTCTTTACCATCAATGAGATCACCTACCTTTTAACATTAAGGGATCCCTCTCTCTTAACGCATTCCCTCTCATTTAACCTCTCCTTTAACATTAAGGGATCCCTCTCTCTTAACGCATTCCCTTTCATTTAACCTCTCCTTTAACATTAAAGGCCCCCTCTATCTCCACGTTAATGACATTCCCTCTCTCCACCGACGCAATCTCTCTCTTTCTCTCCCTTTAATAGTACAACCTTAAAGATCAAACATTAAAACATTAAAGACCACCCTCCACTCCATCATTAAAGACCCCAGTTCCTGAAACCCGAATTCTTATTTCCATCCTCTTCAATTCAAATTTTAGCTTAGTTACAATCACCTAATAAAGATTAAGATAATTAATAATAACCCACACTAAGCCCATTGATTGAGATATGAAGTTCATAGTTGCCATTCAACTCTTCACCTTCATTTTCAGCTTGTATGAAGTGATGAGTGTCATATGTATCTGTCACAGCATCCATTGTAAACCCCGAAGTGTTGCTAGTCAATTGTAAATTGAATCGTCCTGTCTCTCTATCGGACAGATGGGGATAATGATCCCCAACATTTTCAACTTGATCTCGCCATGAAATCTTTACGAATACCGACAAAGGTGTTACATTTTTGTAAAAGGTGGTAATAAATGTGAATATTAAGAATAACCACATTCTGTTAAATTTAGAAATTAAATAGCTAGGATCTCGAGATGTTTCTTATGGGAGTAAACGGGGAAAACCTTCAAAATTTCCCTTAACATTTAAAAATTATAGTGAATTATTAATTTAAAATAAAATATTATGTATTTTAGTAAAAGTGACTATTGAGCGACTTGATAAAAATGAAGGATTGGCAGGAGGGATGGTAAGCAGGAGGTATGGTAAGGCATTAAGAGGCGTTTAAAAAACGTCGCTCTGCGTCTTGCGACAGAAAATAACATTAAAATTTAGAGAGCGAGATTCCCTCTCTTTTCACCCTATTTACTGTCGCAGCAGGCGCGCGATTCTAGGTCAACGTCGCATTATTGCTAGTGACAAGTAATGCCTAGAGAAAAAAATATTTTAGAGAAAAATTTAAAAAAATTTTGCAGAATTTTTTGCAATTTTTGCAGAATTCCCATAAATATTATTAGAAGAAACTCTCCTCCAAAGCTTCACCTCCTAAGAGTTGAGGATAAAATTAGGATAAGGAGATCCCCGTTAGTGTTAGGCACGGTTCAATACTCTCGCAGTACTCTCGAAAGTATTGACTGGGTACTTTTCGGCACTATTGGTATTGGTACGGTATTGATGAGATTTTGGAATTTTCGGTACTCGCTCAATACCAATACTTTTCGGTACTATTGGTATTGGATTGAAAAAATCCATTTGCCGAACACTAATCCCCGTTGTTACTAGCAGAGGTGGGTCGGAATTCCGATTTTCGATTTCCGATGTTTTTTTCCCTCCGATTTTCGAAAAAATTTTTGATTTCGATTTTCGAGTTACGACTTTTGAGCCAGTTTCCATTTCTGGTTACTAGGAGACCCATTTATTGTTACTAGGACACATCCGTAACCGTGCGTTTTTGAAAAAACACTATCCATATTCGTCCGTATCTTGATATATCCGCGGGTATCCGGATATTATCCGTATCCATTACCATGTTTGCCGAATATTATAGGTCGAACTTCAAACTCCTATTAGCATTTAAAAAACTTAAATAATTTATTTAAAGGAAAAAATATTATAAATTTAAGAAATCATCGAGCGACTTAATAAGAATGATGAATGCGCAGGGAGGAAGGCCAAGAGAAATGACAACATTGCTAATAGAAAGGCATTAAGGAGTGTCGCTCGCTTTGCGTCTTGCGACCAGAGTTGCTCGAATTTTCGATTTTCTCTGTTTTTTCCTTTCGATTTATTATTTTTTGCCGCCAAAAGGAAAGATTTTTGGCTTCATGGCCTTCCAAAACTCTCAAAATTTTCGCCTGCGACGCTAAAAGAAAAAAGTATTGGATATATTCGAGGATTTTCAAATGGATTAGAAAGACTAAAGGATCTTTTGCCAGCGGCATAATCTGAGGAAGCCCTGATATAATCGGAGGAAGATATCCTGCATATCCCGGAACTTATATGGTTTGGGTACTCTTTTTTTAGCCACGCCCTTTTTTCCTTTTCCTTCATCAATCAAACCTAATATGGACAGAATGGTCAGCCTTTCTTTCTTCCTCGATTTTACTTAACTTTTCCTGTGGCATTTTCAGTGAGAGACATTAACAAGGAAAAGATTAATTTTCCTTTCCAATTTCACCAAAATAGAATTAACATTTGAATCAATACTCTTATTTTTATCTACTATTTCAATTATTTAAATGGCAATAGGTATCCCGGTTCTACGTTTTGGAACTAATGGTCCGGTATTTTATTGTGTTTTCCAGTTTTTGCGTGTTTAAAATCATATTTTTTTTACAAAATGCCGACCGTTTTACCCCTTTTTAGAAATTTTTGGACCCCTGTAATTCAGCTCAGAGATCTCACGGACCGAGTTTAGTGCCATACGTCTCAGCCCAGCTCGATGAGTCATCCGAGTCAGCTCTATTTCTCTCTTTATTTTAAACAAAAAATTGGCCTCAACTCAATTGATTGATGGTTGAGAGGGAAAAAGAATAATGATGGAAAAGTAAAAAAGGGCGCGGCTAAAAAAAGAGTACCCAAACCATATAAGTTCCCATATCCCTATATCAACTCTAACCCCCTTGAATCCGAGAGTAGAAAAAATTGGCCTCAACTCAATTGATTGATGGTTGAGAGGGAAAAAGAATAATGATGGAAAAGTAAAAAAGGGCGCGGCTAAAAAAAGAGTACCCAAACCATATAAGTTCCCATATCCCTATATCAACTCTAACCCCTTGAATCCTATTTTTGCCCTATTTTTGAGTGGCTGCGCCCCATTTTAGTGGTTTGGAAAAGGCCACCCTGATGTACTTTTAGAATTTATAAAAAAATTTCTCAAATATTCAGCAAGTTAATCCAACGTCGACAAATTAAATGCCGAATACTCATTAATAGAGGACGGATTTTCATTGATATAAAGGCCGGATTCATTGATGAAATTATTTCAATATTTAGCCTATTTTCCCGTTATTTCAATAATATGCATTTTTTGAAAATTATTTCAATATTTTTGCATATTTTCACAAAATTTTGATAAATTTTAGAACAACTTTGATAAATTTAAAAAAACATTCCTTAAACCTTTCTCGAAAATACAAATACCCCCAACCTTTCGATTTTTGTTGGGGATCTCGAGGGATCTCCAAGGTAGTGTTAGCAAGTTGCCGCTTAAGCATAATTATAATTAAAAAGTAGGACGGTTAAAGAAGACATTACCTAAAGGTTAGAAAAACTAGCCTAGTAAAGAAGTAAAGAAAAATCTGGCAACCGCGCGACGCTTACATCACATGCTTCTCCCTCCTCTTCTCTCTAATCGAACACTCCCCCTCAACCTCTCTTCATGACTAGAAAATCTCCTCATTATTAAAAAATTTGCCCATCCTCCTCTGCCTTGCCGTCTTTAAAAATTAAATTTAATGATAGCCTTTTAAAATTTCCCCTCTCTCACCCACATTTATAATTTCTGATTATATGTATAACTCCTATCATGGACAGCCTATTATTTAAATTTTATAAATTTATCTTCTGGGTTTTATAAAGGGAACTTATATGGTTTGGGTACTCTTTTTTTAGCCACGCCCTTTTTTCCTTTTCCTTCATCAATCAAACCTAATATGGACAGAATGGTCAGCCTTTCTTTCTTCCTCGATTTTACTTAACTTTTCCTGTGGCATTTTCAGTGAGAGACATTAACAAGGAAAAGATTAATTTTCCTTTCCAATTTCACCAAAATAGAATTAACATTTGAATCAATACTCTTATTTTTATCTACTATTTCAATTATTTAAATGGCAATAGGTATCCCGGTTCTACGTTTTGGAACTAATGGTCCGGTATTTTATTGTGTTTTCCAGTTTTTGCGTGTTTAAAATCATATTTTTTTTACAAAATGCCGACCGTTTTACCCCTTTTTAGAAATTTTTGGACCCCTGTAATTCAGCTCAGAGATCTCACGGACCGAGTTTAGTGCCATACGTCTCAGCCCAGCTCGATGAGTCATCCGAGTCAGCTCTATTTCTCTCTTTATTTTAAACAAAAAATTGGCCTCAACTCAATTGATTGATGGTTGAGAGGGAAAAAGAATAATGATGGAAAAGTAAAAAAGGGCGCGGCTAAAAAAAGAGTACCCAAACCATATAAGTTCCCATATCCCTATATCAACTCTAACCCCCTTTAATCCGAGAGTAGAGTTGACCGATATCGGGATTCTGCCATAAAATCGGGACCTTTTAAAAGCTTGCTATTGACTCCGAGATTTTTGATATATGCATCTGCATTTTAGATGGATCGGCTTTAGAGAGACCATCCCTGATCTAGATATGTATAATGTAACTAAATTGAAGATCGTTGATTGTACATATCTTTATAAGGAACTTATATGGTTTGGGTACTCTTTTTTTAGCCGCGCCCTTTTTTACTTTTCCATCATTATTCTTTTTCCCTCTCAACCATCAATCAATTGAGTTGAGGCCAATTTTTTGTTTAAAATAAAGAGAGAAATAGAGCTGACTCGGATGACTCATCGAGCTGGGCTGAGACGTATGGCACTAAACTCGGTCCGTGAGATCTCTGAGCTGAATTACAGGGGTCCAAAAATTTCTAAAAAGGGGTAAAACGGTCGGCATTTTGTAAAAAAAATATGATTTTAAACACGCAAAAACTGGAAAACACAATAAAATACCGGACCATTAGTTCCAAAACGTAGAACCGGGATACCTATTGCCATTTAAATAATTGAAATAGTAGATAAAAATAAGAGTATTGATTCAAATGTTAATTCTATTTTGGTGAAATTGGAAAGGAAAATTAATCTTTTCCTTGTTAATGTCTCTCACTGAAAATGCCACAGGAAAAGTTAAGTAAAATCGAGGAAGAAAGAAAGGCTGACCATTCTGTCCATATTAGGTTTGATTGATGAAGGAAAAGGAAAAAAGGGCGTGGCTAAAAAAAGAGTACCCAAACCATATAAGTTCCAACGTTTCTATCACATTTAAGGGTTAATCTCCTTTTCGATTTAGCATTACTAAGACACCTAATCCAAAAATAGCTAGAATAAAACTGAAATTTTTGAACTTAGAAATAACGCAACCACCAAACGGAATGCCAATCATAAAATAGAGATCGGTAAAATCGCATTCCAGGGATCCCTTAACGGGATTTTTTAACATTTTATATCTCATTTTCTGCGAAAACCCCGGGATTCCGGGACGGGATCCCTAAAATCCAGCACGGGACCCCGATCTCTATTAATTAGCGATCTTAATTAGTGTTTGAGTATAACAAAACATATTAACTAATAGATTTAAATTTCTCATCCGATCCCTATTTTTAACAAACTGAATAATAAAATTGTTTATAGCAAGAGCTAAAATGTGGAAAAGCAATTCATTTAAGTCCGAAATTGAATTTTTATCAAATTGAATTTAACGATCAAACAGAGAGATTTGATTGTAAATTAATTCGAAATACACATGAAGTTGATCCAAAATATGCGATTGACTTTGCACAGGCAAATG